ATTACTTATAATGTGGCTAAAGATTTGCAGTACATATTTAACATATTATTGGATGTTTGGAAATTGTTTTAGAAGAATAATTATATTCATAAAAAAACACTAAAATGTTGTTACATCCCTAAGTACAACATACAGAATCTTTAAATATGCTATGATTATAATAGATAATCCATATGTCACAGATTTTAACCCTATATTTAAAGCAAAAAACGTATATACATAAATTATGTAAACTTTAAATGTTTGATTACTTATTATATAGCAAAATAAAAATCATTCTAATTGATGCTTTTTTAAAACTAAGTCTATTTAGGTTTCTAGAAACCAGTTATTAGGCAACAAACCATACCACCCTAGTGTTAGCAGTTGTCCCTTAACGGGAAACATGATCACAAATAACCCACTGACTGCTCCTTACTATGCCTAAGTAAGTTGTTTTTGTTAACAACCAGGTGAGCTTATTAGATGTGATATCAAACTTATATTCGTTGCCATTTGGTTAAGAAGCACAGAACGTATGTGCTGGGCACCAAAGTCAGGTTTAGAACGTTGTCGGCTTCCATAAGTATACTCCCCAGTGGAACTGATCCAGGAATAGCGTACATCTGCTCCATCCTGAAAAGAAATTTCAAGTAAATTTTAATTCTTAAATTTAATATTTTATAGCTGTATCCTAACCGATCACTTTTTCCATTACATGGACATGATGGGGTACATGTATATGATTTGGGCAAAGGATAATATATAAATAAAACCTGTTTGAAATTGTTTTAACAAATATATATCTTATATTTGTTACCGTATTTTTGTACTTATTAAACAAGCATTTATAAATTTTGGTTTGATTCAAGATTCTTTTTTTATTCAGTTTATTGGTTTTATTTGGTACATGTTATTAATTAAAAATCGTCAATCATCATATTACCTTAATTTCATTTGCCAGTTGTTCTTTTGAGCCAATGTTAACAGACGTGGGTCCAACATCAAGTACAATTTTTCATTCTCGACGGTCTATAAACCACTTCATATCGGCAGCTGAGCTTGACACCGAGCCCTTTCCCTCACCAACAAGGTAATTCGCGGTCTTTACTTTGTCATTTGTATTTACCAACATCTAATCCCATTTCCCCTTACCGCCTGTCGGACCCTCAAATTTTATGCTGGATTTCTTAAGCACATCTGGTAGAAATGCAGTTAATACGTCTTTTTTTACGATAACATTAGTAGCTTGAGATATTTTCTTTTTTAATATTTGCAAAGAAACTGATCATTACTTTTACGCGATGTCCAGCTTTAACTGCATTTATCAATTCGAGTACGTATTCCATTTTTATCATGGGAATACATGATTTGCCAACATGGATCAAAGTACCATTTCGTGTCCCATTTCCTTGAATCGATTGCGACCGTTGTATTTCTACCTATCATATACTTGCTGAATTCGCCTTGCCCTTTTGATGTAATCACATGATGTCTAAAATTCAAGAAAAAGGAAAGTATGAAATATTAATATTCTCCGGTTTGGATAAATCATAAACGTAAATTCTTGTAAGACATATTGGAGAGAAAATGGAAACATTTGCATGGAAACAGTACGTCATGCAGTTTGATATGAAATACACATACATAATGTGTAGTTGATATTTCATTGTAAACCACAGACCATATATATAACACGTTCAACGTTCCAAATTTCAATGAAATGATTCAAGGAAACATATTTTTACCGAAATTTTGAATACTCTTTTGAATTTTTCATTTGGCAGATTCCAAACTGTTTGGGCAATGATCTCTTTGTCATCTGACGACACCTCAAGGTTATTTGCTCTGTAATATTCTTCCGTGTTTAGAGATATGGATTCTTGGTTATGGTGTGACAGTTAAGATAGAATCCATATCTTTTGTGGTGCTTACTCGATAAAATATATTCTGATCTTACACTGAACTAAACAAATATCCTCTATGTAGTTCAATACAATGGTAATTCTAGAATGGAAAATAAGTTGACTTGTTTTATTTTATAATAAAGACAACTACTACAAATTGAAAAGCGTTACCAAGAGCACCAAAAAAACCTGATCGATTTTAAGACTGAAGTTTCATTATGCATACTGTGATATTATTTGAGATCAGCATTTCTCAACATTTTTGTCAACATATTCTCCTCTAAACATTTTAATTTCAGCGCCCTAAAAGAATTACATATTATGTTATCAATTTTGAAGAGGTCTAAACATAAAGCTATTTCTGATAACTATACCTACGAAACACAATCACCCATTGGTAATTGCATTGTCCATTGCTTTTCCTATGTTAAAAGTTCGTTTCAAAAATGTGAATGTACCTATTTTGGTACGTCAGTTACAATAAAGTGCCGGATTTTCCTGAAACAGCTGGCGTTTAAAGACATTACTTCATTGATTTGGATTTTGGTTTTATTTTAATTTAGTCTACAATGTCATGATGATGTCAACATGTCAATGGTAAAGAGAAACAAAATGAATCACCTTGTATTTCGATGAATTCGTGTGTTTAGAAAAATAACATACCCTTCTGATTGCATTCTTTAAGTCCGAATTACTTCCAACTAAGACATTTCCCTTTGAGTCATTTCCCATCGTTTCATTAGATATAGCATAAAGGCGAGGTAATTGAAATCGTATAGCATTTGAAAAGGAAATTGATGAATAAAATATAAATGTTAAAGAATATATAAGCAAAATCGATGAGACCATAAAATGTTTGTATCATCTTTTTTTAAATTAATTGAAATTCATATAAATAGCATGAATGCAATTAATTTAATTATTAAACTTAAGATATAAACATCTTCATTAACTTACAAGTTGGCCACCGCTGCCTCACCTCCGACAACAAGAGCCCCGACTACAAAAAAAAAGCATACGTGCATCGCGAGATTTCCTTTGGTTTATATTTGTTCTCCACTGCGTCAGTGTTTTCATTTAACCACTCCAGTTTCATTTTCTCAAAAAGGATGATTTATACTCACTTATGAAGTACATCCTAGCATATTTTGGAACAGTACATCTCGTTGACAACAATAAAAAGCAACACTTTGTACGGTCTATAAAATCTCGCTGACAGGTAGGATTTGATGTACAACATCAATTAAAACTTAGATGTACAAGCAAATCTTTATGTGTGAAGGCTTCTATTTCTTGAACTGGTACAACTTAATGCTAGATTTACAGGATAGGACATGTTCTATCTCTTAATTTTACTTTTACAGACCTCCCACGATGACTGGTGACAGGTTTCCCAATTATTATCTGATGATGTGTTTAATGAAAAAAATTCCAGAACAATTAGGGCTAAAATGTAAACATAATACATTGTAGAAGATTGAGTAAAAAGGCTGTTGAAAAACTCATTGGGAGACCCCAAGTTTTGGCATGTTGTAATCCCATATTACTAGAAAAAAATGATTATAGACTCTTTTTTTTGGAAAATGGAGGAGTTTCCAATATTACTCATTGCGATAAATAATTTTTTCACTGTGATTCCAAAATACAGAACAGGCCATAGGGTGCTCAGTTATGTTATTCATTCCAGAACATGGCAATTTCCAAAATACCCCCATACTATCCACGGCCTATGGTCAATGCCAACAATTATATAACATTTACACATATTTCAGTAATTATAGTGAATAAATTCTTCAAGGGATCCATTCAGAGGAATATTTTGGAGGGCAGTCTGGTGTTAAGTGGAACATAGATTTACGGGTTGAATGCAAGTGTTGTATTGCTTTGAAAAGTGTACATCATTTCTTTAATTAATGTTGTACAACTAAATCTTACTGCCTCTTAAGGCCTTAAGGTTATCAACATCAACATGTAAGTGTTCAAAAGCCAAATCATTGCTTAACTATACTGAATAGGACTATCACACAAATGCAACTGTACTTAATTTTAATAATATATAGCTGTTAGTATTTCAATGAAGAAAAAGGCGCTTTTAGGTAATAAGTCGACAATCAGTTAAGGCCTGTCAAGTCTTAAATGCAAGTATCATAATTATGTTCTTGTCTTGCATAATGCAGACACCCTACTTGAATCATTTTAATGAGAATTATGTGACATCCATAAAGATAATTCCTTACGAGGAAATTAGAACTCGTTCCAATTGGCTATAAATTTTTTGGCAGTCAAGACAGCGATAACACCGGTTTGACACTAAACTTGTGCCCTGAAGGTGTGATAGTGGTGATATTTTTCCTATTTACTGATTTTTACAGTGCACATGAACTTTGTATTTTTTGTAAATATTTAGAGTTGATTTGTTTGTGTGTTAAGAAAACTTAACAAGAAAGTTTGAAATCCATTTAATCATCGTACTCAGGGCACTCGTTTGGTCGTTTTTGGGGACGAATATGGTACCATTCCCCTCTCAAAATCATATTGTCTCCCTATTTGTTCTAAATTAAAACAGCTTAAAGTATGTTTTTATTTGTAAGACTATATCAAAAAATATACTAGCTATGTATTTCAATGGTAGGAAAATTACTAACTATTGCAACCAATGGTAGGAAATAGTGTAATGAGTAAATGTGATAAAAATACACTAAATACGTAATGACATAAAATTCCGAATTTTGCCTTAAAAAGACGCCAAATTCCCCTTCCTGAAGGTATGGGTATCTGTCCCCAAAAGGTGTCTAGTTCCCTGGTACTTTAATAACGTCAATTTGAAGGAGGAAATAATCTATCCCTACAATAAAGTATTTTGGCCTACCCTACTTAAACTTCTGAATATATATTACTATAAGTATACATTATTACACAAATGTTATTTGACAGTTTGAGCATGAAATGGAAAATATAAGTTAGCGGTCGAACTAGCAAATTGATAAAAGTACTATTATAAAATATTATTATGCGATATTATTACATTAAAACCGAATTTTTCCATACAAAAATATTTTAAAAGAGGTGTTGCGACATTTCCAAATGAAAAAAAAAACAAATACTTAGCTTTGAACAATGTAATCGAATAAATTGGAAAGCTAATATCGTGTAAAGTACAATTCACTATGGCCGTATTAGTAAGCAACTATTAATTAAAGCATGTATTCCACATATATACAGGTAAAACATGTACAATAATTCTTAAGCTTTTTCTATGAGAATTTTGTAAACGCAACAATAATTAAATGCACATCTCTTTGTTTATATTAATATCATTTTATGGAAGCTTAAATGTCGATGGATTCATCAATGGTAGATGGGTACATAATCATTAAAACTAACTACCAGGTAGAATGGACATGATTCGTGCTAAATGATACCGGTACATTCTTCAAAAAAATTAGTGAAGTAAGTTCTCGCATTGTAAATAAAACACTTTGTAATACAAAAAGATATATGCATGCATAAAAATGTGTGTAATACAATTATCAAAATTCATATATATTCTTCCCTGCTTAATTACATGCATGTTTCTACGTTTCATTTTAGCAGTTATTTGGCGACAAACCACATCACCCTTTGGTTAGCAGTGGACTCTCCGCGGGATGTATGTTCGCCAACAACCCATTTACTGCTCCTTACTACGCCGGTGCTAGTCGTCATCGTAAACACCCAGGTGAGCTTATTAGATGTGACATCAAACTTGTATTCGTTACCATTTGGTTTAAGAAGCACATAACGTATGTGTTGAGCTCCGAAATCTGGTTTTGAACCATCAAATTCAATGTTGTCAGCTTCCATAAAAGTGAACTCCCAACCAGGGCCTATCAATGCGTATCGGATATCGGCTCCAATCTGACAGAAGTGTGTTAGGACGTAAAATAATAAGCACTTCAAGACTTAATCGAGGCTAATCGTATTTAATATCTTATAAGCTGCATGAATATAGCGGAGATATTATCAAGGCTAAATAGGAATTTAAAAAATGTCCTTAATAGTTTTAATCAAAACACAAATGCATTATCAAAAGTATTTCTTTGTCAGCGATCCTATCGTTTTGTTTTTCATTCATGCTTGAAATTCATTCTTATAATTAAAGAGTTTTGTTTTATTTTATAAACATGAGCCCTTACCTTTATTTCATTCGCCAGGTGCTCTTTTGAGCCAATGTTTACAGAACTGGGTCCAACATCAAGTACCATATTCCATTCTCGACGGTCGATAAACCACTTCATAACAGCAGACGAACTTGACACTGATCCCTGTGTCTCGCCAACAAGGTAATTCGCTTTCTCAACTTTACCATTTGTGTTCACCAACATCCAATCCCATTTCCCCGCAGCGACAACTGGGTCTTTGACCGTTTCTACACTGAACTTTTTAAGCATATTTGGTAAAAACGCAGTTACCACATCTCCATTAATAATAACATAATTGGCTTTGGACAGTCTGTTTTGAATCATAACTTTGACACGATGCCCAGCCTTGATGGCATTCATCAATTTTTGCTTCGACCCTGCTTTACCCTTTCCGTTCTGATCATTGGAGTACACTAGTTGCCAACATGGATCAAAGAACCATCTCGTTGACCGGTTACTGGAATCCATTGAGGTCCTTGTATTTTCGCCTACGAGATACGTGCTTTGTGCTACTTGTCCGTTTGAAGCAAAGGTTTTAAATAACCAGCTGCCTGATGTCTAGAAGTAAGAAAATTGTTTCATGTTTAGCTGAGTTTAGTTGAAACTTTACTACCCAAATTTTTACACCCGGAAATAAAATATATATTTTTGCATAATATGAGGCCAGCAAAAGACGTTTCAACAAAACGCGTATAAAATCGGCAATTATATTTTGAAATTTATGCAATTGGACAAGAATTATTGCAAACTCAAATTTTAGATTTTAAAACATGTTTACCGAGATTTTAACTATATTCTTGTATTTTTCGTTAAGCAAGTTCCAAACTGTTTGGGCAACGATCACTTTGTCATCTGACGAGACCTCAAGGTTATCTACTTTGTAATATTCTTCCGTGTTATGAGATGTGGATTCTTGCTGAACTGTTAAACCATAACCACTTTGTTTAACAGCTTGTATATGAGCATTCACTGCATAAATATCATTTCTGGTCGCTGGGACGGCAGTCATATATTTGTCTTCTACCTCCCTGTGATAGAAATTTTATGACGTTTCAGAACAATCGATTTTTGAAATATATTTGTTTTGTTTCTTATTAAAATATTTCCCCGCAAGAAACCTTTCTAATTGGATAAAAATATAAAAAAAAATTCTTGCTTTCTTCGTAAAGAAATAATGTTATTTATAGTGATAAGAACTTTTAACACAGAATAGTTCGTTTTTTGGCTATTATGTCTAATTCTAACCCCAAGGATTGAAGTCTTAAGCATGTTTTCATGAACTACAACGGTACCGTTTAATTTCAGACAGTTTTGGAAATTGTTCAAATAGCCTTGACTACATTAGAACTTTAAATAGTACAGGTGTGTCATCTATTTTGTTAAGTAATTTATTAATAAGGATTAAAATGCTTGAATTCGTAATTAAGTATTTAAATTAGGAAGGAAAGAAAGTTAAATGCTGACCAAATGACGGAAAGAGATATTTCTTTGTTGATGTCACGCCTGCTGATTCTATGTCAGTGCCATTAATAGGATATTCAATTGTTTCCGCTAACCCGACACTCGTATAATTTGTTTATATTTGGAATTCTTTTGAACACTTTAACAGCGAATAAATTAACACACAAAAACAGACTTCGTATAAATTTCATTTACTTTAATCAACAAAACATATATAAATTTCGGAAAGAAAATTAACTCTGTAAAATCTAAAATAACTGTTTAAAGGAGTGACACGAGGCCGTCATAGGAAGGGGCGGGGCCAATTTTGACCCAAGGGATTTTATTTGAACAAATTTGGCAGACACTCTTTAGAAGATATTTCATGCTACATATCTAAGCTCTACCTTTTTTTTTGGTTCTTAATGGAAATACATTCTTTGAACAATTTTAAAAGGTGACCATCAAAGAAACATTCCTGTGAATTTGGATAAGCTGTTGATGAGGAGATGTCGTCTTGAGTAAAAGTTTACGGAAAAACGACCATTTAAAAAAAGTGCGAGGTTAGCAATAACACCAAGTATATGTATAATAGCTACATCCTGCAAAAGAATATGTATAATTCTCCATCACGCGTAAATATTTAACATGGACGAATAGAAAAGGCATCGTTTTTAATCTTTGAAATATTCAATGTCAAGATAATGACAATAATTGAAAATGTCACAAATTAAATGTTTAACATGTAGAAACTACCTGGCAAACCATTTAGTTCCAAAATTTGTTTGACTGTCAGCTGGTTTTGTGCGATCTCCAACATACCACCGTGACACCGATAAATCTCCGGTTGTACAAACAACAGTAAACCACCAATATGCTTTTGCCTGCAATGTGAAGTATCTTTGCATGTCGTCAAGTGCTTAGTTTTATTTATTATTATTATTATTATTATTATTATCATCATTTTTTTCTTACATTTTTTGATAGTCCGATCAATAGCAATTCAGTTCGACTCCTTTCCCATAAAGATCTAGAAACGGTGAGTTACCAGACATGAAAAAGGAATACTTATTAAATAGATGAAAATCGCCTACTCAGTTTGATTGTCAGTCCATGACAATAATGAAGAACGCAATAATTAATTTCTCACCCAACAAGCAACAACTTGCAGTACTCAAGCACAAATCGTGTTGCAGTTTATGATCAACCACTATGGTGTTAAATGTAACTTAAATGACATTTTCTGATTTTTCGATTAACCGATTTGTTCATCTGGATATTATTTGTTTTTCTTTTGTTTAAGTAAAGTCGTATTTTTAAGCGGAGCATCTACATAACAATTTTTGAAATGTTGTTCTAGTGTGTTTAGGCTTTAAACGAGATTCATTAACTTCAATTCGATACGCAATTTTAAATGGATGTGGCCAGCAATCATTCTCAACACTATGGAGGGGTTTGTCTGATGTCCTCTCCAATAAAGCAAATAGCGCATTTACCTGAAAAGTTGCCCATGAGCTTTGGGACACACTTAAAATTCTCTGTCCGCAAATTTCATCGCCAATTATTAAAACAGTGTCAACGCCGACATGACCATATGTTTCAGTTAAAGTTTTAATTTCAGCACCCTAAATTAAAAAGAAAACATATTCATTAAAATATATTGGATTTAACATTTTTTACTAAACACTGAGTAGAGCACAATCTCAGTATAGGTTACAGTTTATTAGTACGTATTTACAAAATTAAATTGGTCTAGCTTTGTGTTTTAAATTATTTTTATAAACAGTCGAATTACTAGACTTATTATCAGTTTGTCGATTTACCAATGTATATGTGTTACGCTTCATATGAAATACTGCAATCCTATTGGACAAAAAATAATTTCAATTACTATATTATTTTAAATCGTTGTCAGTAATTGGTGTTACATTAAAATGTTGTTACATAGTAGTTATTAATATTCCAAATAAGAAGGCCACGATTGACATGAGTATTGTATCGCTCACCAGTGTTTGCATGAAGAATTTTTGCCTGTGCACTGTAATATTATTACGCAAGGAAAGGGAGAATTAAAATCGCGTGTACCAAAATAAAAATTGAATCGGTGACCCACAATTTTGTCTCATTGAGTCTGAATATGCATTTCAAATGATAAAAAGCTCATTTGAGCATTTTCTGCTCTGTTTAGCTCATTTAAACGCAGACATATGTTATTAAGTATGACATATTGATCCATTTAATTAAAGGCGCATTAAACATCAGAAACTAATAAATTTGTTCCTTTTTTGAAAGGGAAAACATTTAATCAGTGGTTTTAGAGCATGCTAGATACTTATTATGTGAAGAAAGTAGCACTGAATAATTTGTCATACATTTTTGACTTCCATACAAAATACTAAATACTATCAATGTACTAATTTCCAAATAGCAACAGAAGCAAAAGATGGTTCTGAAAATTAACAAATGAAAAACTTTGTTGAAACTATAATAGTTCAACAAAAATGAAAAGTTTTCAGAATAAATTAACGCATTTCTAGTACATAATGGGTTTTTAAGTAAATAATATTAAGGTATAATTATAACTGAGATTACATATGAGTGACAAAAATAAAAATATTAGATTAAACTTGTAACAAATTTCAAGAAGACGTACCCTTCTAATAGCGTTCTTTAAGTCTGACTTACTTCCAGCAATAACATTTCCCTTGGAGTCATGTTCAAATACCAAACGCCATGTTGCCTTACACTTGTCTAAAACGTTGAAAACATGCGTAATGTTAACATACTGTAAAACATAATTGACTGTTTACGGGTTAGTAGGTAGGTAGGTAGTCTATGTTTAATGACGATCCATTCGCTTGCAAGGGCACAAGAAGCAGCTTTCGTAGTCGAGTACGGACCCAGGAAATGTCAAAGTGTTGATAATTTACCTCCATGCAATTTTCACGGTGTATTAGCCAAATATATGAATTTTGAGTCAAAAGTAGGTCACTGAACGGCAGCCAATGAGAACTTTAATTTATAGTCACCTGTGACAATATGAAAAGGGTAGCCTAACCTGGATTTTTATGTGCTCCTGTTTTGCAATTCGACATACTAAACCACGAATGAATACGTCATAGCGCATATGTTATGAGGAAGCAAGAAATGCTATAAATGAGCAAAAACTATCAACGCCTGAATCATTGGATAAGGATAGCCCTGAAAAGGGATGTTATGCCAGCTATGGGCCTGCCTTTTCAGCCGTCTAACCTGTGCTAGGTTACGTAAACCATCAATGTCGTCTATCTGCCTACGTCATCCCAAGTCTTCAAAACTTCTGCCGATGCCCTGTGCCTTCTCAGCGACGGGGAGAAGTGGGAAGGTTAGGGGTCACTCTGCGAGGCTTGACACGATATAAGCAATAGATTATTGTGAAAGTGAATATAATCATCATTAAATGAATGGCACTCTATCAAAATAACTAACAAATATTCCTAATAAAGAGAATGATAACATATTTTTATTCCCCCAGATGATTATTTTCAAAAGACAACATCGACTAATAATAAGTAAAGTTACAAGTTACATTTATTGCAAGGTTCTTCGTCTGACAGATCAGCACATTCTGGAACACCATCACAACATAATGAACATCCGGTGGTACCGTTATATAGTTTGCACAATGACTGTCCCACAGGCCACTCTGAAATATAACCACAATATTAAGGTAAAAGAATTAAAGTAAAACGTAGTTTTAAAGGATATAAAGTTGCATACCTTCTGCAAAAATCGTTGTTAATTCTTAATAAACAATACATTATGTGATAAAAGCGCTTGTATGACAGAAATATCTTAGTAAATAGTCAAACAAATAAGTAGCGCATACAAGAAATAATTGCTGAATGGATAAAAATCCTATTTAAAATAGTAAAAATAAAATGAATAAATTATAATAGTAGAATAATATGTTGTTCCGGAATAATTTATTCTGTTTACATACAATGTCCATGTGTGTTCAATAAACATTAATAGACATTCGGTGTTAAAACTCTTTTAGAATCAATCATGACATTATGGAAACAGTTGATACATTTTATAAAACATTTCCATAGGATATAGCTCTGTTTAGTGATACTTAAATCAAATTCTGATAAGTCACACAAAAGAGAGACTATTTTATATGTTACTGGGCAGGTGATCGAGTGATATTTGTTTGCGTTAACATTGGGTCACTGCCATTGACTGCACCGATGACTAACATGGTATTTGCTATTTTTGTGTCGTGTGTAACTAAAAAAGTATTTGACCTTAAGTCATGAGACTTTACAAAGATTTTGGTTGACATGTGTTGTTGTGTACCTGGGTGTTTGATTGTGGATTTGTTCAGTATCTGAAGAGTAATTGCCCTTGACTTAGAAAAAAAAACATTCCATTATGTTAAGTTATGTGTTCCTTGAGTGCTTGAGTTAGTATCAACCAGCTTAACAGGAATAACGATCAATGTCACTGAAGCTGTGCGCCTGGGTTTTGCATTTGTTTTTTTTTTCTCAGTTTTGTTAGAGTTATTGTCCTTGACTTAGTATGATTTTGAAATTTTCAACATTGTCATGTATAGCTCAAAAAGTATTTAACATGTAGGCCTACAAGTTTACATGAATGGTGGTCAGCATTTGTACTTATGCACCTTTGGGTTTGCTTGCGAATTTATTCAGTATTTGTAAAGATCTTGCCCTTGTTTTAGTAAGATTTTTATGTTGTTTTTTTTATTGTGGCAAAACCTATATTATGTAAAATATTTCGATTTCTCACTTTGATTTCTCGAATATGTCTTTTTGTCGACTTCACGCAACAATTTCGAAATTTTATATCTTATATTCGTGCAAACCGGCTTGACTCCTTGAAAAATTAAGTTCTATATCTAAGTACCAGAAAATGAAGGAATATTTGAGGAAAACACACTCGTTAAGAACTGTTGACACTTAAATTGCCACAGTTGAGGTATTCTCACTGTACGATTGCTTGCATAATCTGAAGAAGAAAAAAAACAATATTTCGGTTACTTGCGAAGTCATTGTACGGTTGTTTGAAATTTGAAATACCGTTTGCATTTCTGGTCAAAAGACTTGTTTGAAAAACTTTGAAACAATTGTTATTATTTTCAAAATCAGTCTTATACAGGAAGGAAATACAAAAAAAAATATATAACTTTTTCATTTCTTGTGGCGAATAATTTCCATCATGGCTGGGTATAAAAATAATTTTCGAACTTTATATGAGAGGAGAGAAGAGTAGTCAAATATGAAATATTGCAAACTTACACAATAAATATGCACCGACAACGGTCACATATGTTATGTAATGTCCGATATTTCACACAAACATTGTTGGTGTCCTTTGGACAAGTGTTGCAAGAGCACCGACAACGGTTGCAATCAAGCATTTGATTAATCAATGTCTTTCTATTAGCAATCGTCTGCAATTTAAACTCAAAGGACGCAGCGGGCTCACACAGCTCCTTATATAGCGTTCTAACTATAGCTCTCAGACACAGCTGGCGTATAGATACGCAGTTCTAATGATCGATAAATTAAGAAATGTGTCATTAATGTAAACTAAAAGAGTTTAATCTTGAATAATTAAACTTTGATATTATTTTCAAATAAATGTATAATAAGAGAATTCCGGAAGATAGTTGCTGGTTCGAACCTGAGAGCCACTGCATATCGCAAATGAGTCCTATCCAAGAATAAAATACAAGAAAAAAATACAAGAAGAAAATACAACACAAAACAACACAAGAAACGGAGGTAAGAAAAATACCTCTTGAACTGAAATACACTCTAAACCAACGTTATATGATCAAATGTTTGTGCCAATGATAAGCGTATTATGCTTCACAGTTATTTACACAGTAATTGACTAATAAAATAATCTTAAACATGTCGTAATTAAGCACAAGAAACACACTTGCAGTAATAAAAGTTATCATAAGAACTCGAGGACATATTTTCAGTTATCACAAGAACTCCGTGACATTTGAAAAATCGGGTATAAATTCATTAGTCTGGGCTTTATGTTTGCAACTCTTCATTAAAGTTAGGTAACTTTATTTTATGCTTTTCAATGGATTACTGATTAATCTGTGAAAATTATATTTGATAATTTCACTGTGAAAATTATCAAAATATAATTTCACACTTTTCAATGACGAAAATACTTTCTTAAGATTTTCCCCATGTGGTACCTCAATTTTATTTTTGCTGTCAATTCTGACAATGTCAGGCTGTGCAGAGAAAAAGCAAAGCTGAAATTGATAAAAGTTATAAAAAGACGAAAAATTACTTCTATTCATTCAAATTACCAATCACCAAATATCGTCTCTTATTTATTTTTTTTCTCACTTTTACAGTCTGAAAAATACATTCCTTCCACACGCAAAACTGCTCTTGATGACATTTGGGCATATTTAAGTATCCTACGAGCAATAACTGTGTCGTATGCTTTATGACAACTTGAAAAGCAATGGCAGCCATCAGCCCGAAGAATAAGTAAACAACACAGCGTTCGTGAGGCATCCTTTCAACAATTCCAAGTTTTCCAATTTCCTAGCCGATTTTGAATGTTTACACTTCTGTCAACACTTATTTATTGTTTGTTACAATCCTCAAATAAGCTTTCTTTCTTTTAAAAAGGTGTTTGACTAACAAATCCAAATGATATCCCTCTAAACAAAACACAATTATTTTCATCCCGTGAAAAAAATGGCGGCCGCTTAAATTTAAACTGGGTCTAATATAAATTCGCAGTAAGTAACAGAAATATGGATAGATTGTTGGTATTTTTCTCGTACTAGAATTGTTTGTTTTTATTATTAACACAAGAGATCATTCATATTTTTTTAATAAAATGAATAATATCACCGCCATTTGATTGTCGAACTTATTTTTCAGCCCAAGACTTCTTTAACGAAGAATTCGACTAAATGAGGCTCTAAATGGGGAAAACATATTTTAATATTAACGTTAATATTAATGAAATTTCGTTTTTACTTGTTTTTAAGCATAAAATAAAAAGAAAATGTGTTTGTTTGTTGTGTAAGATGTAATTTTATTTCATCTCGTGCTACGCCACTCGTGAGAATACTGTTTTTAAAGCCCACTCGATGAAATAAAATTTCATCTTACATACAAACAAAAAAAATATCCTCTATAAGTATAGCAACGAAGAATATCACAAATGAAAAGGTCAATATGTACGAAAGAGCAAGTAATTTGGAAATTTTACTCAAAACAAACAGGTTTTTTTAAATGGCGATGAAAAATGGGCTAAAAGGTTTTTCTGAAACATAATACAATATGTAGGGCAAGCTTATTTATCAAAGTTTATTTAACACCTCAAACTCCCCATTTGAAGGTAAAAATTATCATTTTTCACATGAGTACTCCAAGCATATAAAAGTTTTCCACAGAAATCCGTAACGTTTTCCAGGACCTCCGTGACAGTTATCATAAGAACTCCAAACAAGTTATCATAAGAACCCCATCAAAATGGCAAAAAGGAGTTCATCATTATGTTGCCACTAACGATACTAGTTCAGATAAGAATGAATATTAACATGACAAAACTTGTTGTATTTTTTTTATTTGTTATTAATTTCGATATCGAGAAAAGCCCCATGGCCGCTTTGGTCAGATTTCAAATGTGTCATGTATAAACTTATTTTGTTCGAACCCATGATAATGTCTTGTGTTGATAGGAAATGATTTGATGACCTCTTGTTGTGTGAAGTAATACGCCTCCGTGGTTGAGGGGTTAGAGTCGATGACTTCTAATCCAGTTCTCTGGCGTGGGTTTGATCCCCGGGAGATGTTTTGGTAGTTTAGCACGGAGGAAGGTAGTCTAGTACTGGTGTTACTCTCCAGGAACGATGTTTAGGAAACTACCCGCATATATGACTGAAATACTGTTGGGAAAAGGCGTAAAATGGAACAAACAAACAGACAAACTTACTCAAATTAGTGCAATATACGCGAGTGACAATGCAGCCACAAATAACATGTTTTCGTACACAAAGCGACAGGCACTTTGTATAGCTGAAATTATTTTTATATGTTATCTGTTACAGGATGACGTGTATCATTAGACCCTTTTGTTCGTCTTAGACCTTCAAGCATACGTTTCAACCTTTTTTGTGTTATCAACCATATCATCAAGCTTATTGACATAACTTAATAGAGGATGTGTAGCTATTTATAGTCTTATAAGCGTACTGTTTCAAGGACATGGAAGCTATATATTCCGCTATCTGTTGAACTGTTGGAGGTCATTGTAGTGATACACCAATCATACCACAAAGTTTGCGAATTAAGATATGTCGGTGTTATATTGATTACGAGTATTTTATTATCAGACGGAAAGATAACCTTTTTGTTTTTAATTTTCATTTCATTGCCCCATAATTTGAGTGCTAAACCAAAAGGCACGAATTCAAGATATGTGATGTCCTTAAAAATCAGTTCCTCCCAGTTAGTTGGCCACCTAAAGGCACACCACTGATCTTTAAAGTAGCAGCCATGTGCACAACCTAAATAATTGTCGCCGAAGACGTCGGTGAAGAGTTCAATAAATGTATTATCTGACCAAATTATGCCATTTAACATTGTGACCCCATTAAATTCAGTTAGAAATAAGAGCCAGGCCCCGTGTTCACAAAGTTTTAAGGATCAGGATCAAGATTAGGATCAAATTTAAAAACTCAAATATTCTCAATTATTTATCCTCATAGATTAAATATTCAGTATTAACTTAATAAAACTGGACTTGAGATAGCATGCTTATGAAATTTTAGAATGAAAGTATTCTTATTTTTACAAGATATGGGCATTTAACAGTTGATCCAAATTTTGATCTTGATCCTGAAATTGATCCTTATTTTGATCAGATTATTTTTGTATTTGTTTTGTTATTTGTTGATTTTCCCCCAAAATAGGTTGGTTTCTTTGCAAGTAAGCAATTATTTATATTCCGAATATGTACCATTTACTTCTAGCATAATACCATCAATTTTAGTTGTATAAAACAATGAAAATAAAATCAGGATCATCTGATCCTGATCCTGATTTTTTCTTTGTGAACACGGGGCCAGGTGATGACGAATTCGTGCATTTCCCTTTACATGCATACAATAAAAATATTTTAACCTTAGACATAGAATCATAAAATCTTCACAAGAAAGCTCTGTCAGTAGGGATAGTCTTTGTGATAAAGTTTAGTTATCATGCTATAGACTGAAGATCCTTCAAAGATATATATTTTTTTTTGAAGATATAAGCCGCAAAAGCTCGTCTATGGCCTTTTTGCAGGTACATTTTCATGAATGTAATGATTCTCCGCATTTATCTCAAGCCCAAAGTAAGTGATTGTTTTTAATAAACCTGCGCAGATCGAGGTACGAAAATGTCTTAACAAACGTTTTTGAATACGTTAAAGTTCCAGACAGGATCCAAAAACTCACGTCTGCCAAAAAATAGTTATTTTGAACAAGGCAATCTAAGAAAGAAGTAATTATTTTGAAAATGAATCAGGCGTTGGTGGAACCCTGAGGTAACATTTTGTTATGCACATAATAACCCAGGTAATACCAAGTACGCCAGATTTAAGTCACCTGTCCATAAAGGACACAAGTTAAAACCTGATTTTAAATCAGCTTTGCAACAGACAATTTTTCCTATACTTTGAACTAATGATACTACATGCTTCGTCGAATTGTGCACACTTGACATGTCGATAGACTGGTTCGATAAATTCATTTACGCTGTTAGTGGAAATAACAAATTTGTTATCAGTCTCGAGCCACCGGACATAATTAATCAGCAAATTGGAAATAGGTGGTTACTTGTATGGTCCGACAATCCAGCCAAATGTTTGTCCTCATATATTTCTTTATCTAAAACTGCTGGATTGGTACTCTTGGATCAGTATAATTTAATTTAAACCAATGTTTAAATAATATAAATAAGCATCGTTTTTATAGTAACCTGTTGTTTTAAAGGTAACTATATTATTGGCGTTGGCGTTGAACCTAGGCCCCTCAAATATTCTGGTCTAGGAGAACAATCTGGTACTGGAACAGTGGGGGAGTTGCTGGGACTGAAAACGATAAGGCCTTCTATTAAATTTCGAAGATTCATCTTGACAATACGAAGGGTCCTGTCGTATCTGCTTACTATTAATGCGTTGGTTACCAGCGCTAGAGCCGTTGTATTAAAGGAAAATACTTTTCGAGAAAGGGGAGGTAATCGAAAGACAAACCGACTGAATTGGTTTTATGGCTAACATCATCAATTTTCAGCCTAAAGCTTGAGTCGTAGGCGGCCCAACCAATAAGCCTAGTTGCTGCCTGTCATATGTTTGACATAAATTGAAGCAAATTGCCAATTTCAGCAGGTTGCTTTAGAATTTATATGATATAGCGATAAAGATATGAAAGGTTTTTGTCTTTTAATATTTTTGGGCTATTGTTCATACCCTTTGGTGAAAATCTAACATAAAATTACATGCTTTTTGGCAAGAAACCTATTTGTAATATTCTATTTTATATAAAAGGTTCAAATTATGAACTTTATGTAACGTAATGAACAGTCATGACGGAAATTTTATGCATAGAAAGAACTCATCATTTGCAAATTGTTTTTCGGAAATTTTATCCATAGAAAGAATACACCATTTTCAAAATGGATTTTTTTAAGAATCTGGTTTACTTTTAGGAACAAGACGTTGTTATCCTAATTTCTATATGATTATTGAATCATACTTTCTGTTTAATAGATTGAGAAACATGTGCAAATAAAATTAATGTTAGATTTGAAAGTTTACTTCACCTTAATTTAGGGAAGAGTCATCATCAGTTAAAACTACGTTATGACGTTTGTTCGAATTAGTCCTCTGTGCTTGTCGCCTTTTCTCGTTTAAAGCACTGGCCAGGCACTTAGTTTCGTTCGCACGTCGTTTGGGCAGTTTTATCAAGAAAAAATAACAACATCAATGACGATTTCTTTGTTATTTCTTCCTAAACACCCGATATTATTTATTTTTCTCAAGCTCACATGAATATTCTTTAAAGTATCAAGAGGATTTGCTCGAATATTATCAATCTAAACATATTGGCTATTATCAATAATAACTTATCCGGAGACTGACGGAAAGGGCCGAAAAGTTGCGATTGGTATATCACATGTAAATCTTGAAATCGGTGTTCAAAATCAACAATAGGAATAGGGCTGAGAAATCGTATTATTTCGGAAAATAGGTTTTAAGGTAGGGCTTAGACTAGAAATAATCTCTTTTGTATAACTCCTAGTTGTAAAGTAACAATTCCTCAATAATTGATCTTTATTGAACTTATTTATTAATTTCCAGTCTAAAATCGCGAACAAGGAGTATACGCTGTGATTTAACCATGTCCCAGGAAAATATTGTCCGATTCAAATGGCTCATATTTTTTCCAAATACCGCTTTTGTACTTTTCAAGATGTTTGCAGAAATTACTGCATATTTTCATTAAAATATTGCCACATAGAAAAATGTCGGCAAGAAGCACGAAAGTAATGAAAGCACTACAATTGAAAGTAATGTTCCTTAATATTCTTGATAATGTCTCTAATGCGAGTTTGGTGCTTTTGTTTTCCTTAAAAAGCAAATAGTCAAGCTTGTCGGACAAAGACTACGCTTCATAATAGGATCAGATAAAAAATTATGTACATGGACACAGTTTTGTGGGGCAGCACAATAAATGCTAATCGTTCACATTGGACAACTTAAATCGAAATCATATTAAAATCAGAAAAGAAAGTTAGTGGCTCTTACCTTTTATCCAAGTGTCCTTTACACAATACCTTGTCCCATCTGGTGCCCGGCAGTTTCGGTCAATTGTGCAAGTTTCACCAACAGCACATCTCGGAATTATCTGAATTTATAATGCAGCATCTTCATTATCGAGACCAGCTTTTATCAAAGAATACATAAAACAGGGTATTCCGACTTCACAGTCTTGATATTTGCGTGACATAGACTTTCCGGGAATTGACTTAGACATCCAAAATGAATGACAATATACAACTGTTCATTGTCCTACTTCTTTTGTCCTAGTGCGCTTTGTATGCAACCTGTTGTTATTGGTGTTTTTACAGCTTTGCTTTGCTCTGATTACTTTTGATTCTTTAAGAAAACAAATTTCATATAAACCATACAGAAACAGCTCGATTTATTTCTATAACGTGTTTAAACATGGTTGTATTTATTCTTAAGATACTAGAATGGACTAATTATTAAAAAAGTTATCAGATTTGTTGATAAATATGTGTTGAGAAATTTAATAGTTTTACCTGTCCTGTTTGCAATAGACTACTGTTTCCTTCGCCACTGAAATAATAACTTAATTAATTCTGTCATAGTCTTACCATCAAATATATTCAATCCATTATTTAAATGAGAAAAACAACATAAGTATCTGCTTGATGACTAAGTATTTAGATGTAATTATTTTTTCTGAGACCCGCATTTTGTTGATTTGATACTACAAATATGGTTGGATTTCATATTCATAGGCACTATATGTTTTAACTTTATACTGAACTTTTGCCACAATATTTGTTTTCCCCGGTATAGTAAAAATTTTAACTTTTTCATGAACGGAGACACATTAATTTAAAGAAATTGCAGCATTGTTATGTTGTTGTTGATGTTGTTGTTTTTTTCAATCGGTCAGTGAAATATGACCGTCACTGAAACAGGACAATCCTACGAAAACAACTCATTTGTTCGAATATAGAAATTGCATTGATGCTACATTATGTCATGTTACCAAAAACAAATCCGACAACGACAAACACTCGTACGCAAATCGTCAATGCAAACATGAAAATCAAGCTTAAAACGTTAGTCGATAAACCATACACACACAATTTAAAGATACTCATTTTAATATTATCTTAATTTAATTTACATTATGTAAATATGTATTTTTTTTATTTCGAGTTTTAGAAAGTGTACAAAATAAATTATGATATTAAAATTAGATTTTTTTATATTTTAAACTTACGCATTATACACAGCCGCTTTACCTCCGGTGACCAACACACCTAGCACAAAAGCAAAGTATACATCCATTACGTGAATTGAAACCTAAATGAAATATGTTTGCTGAATTTGTCTCTTATTATATTGTTGATTTGTATTTTTCCGCGTTAACTTTTCATATTTTACATCTCCTCTTTATCTTTTGTAACGACAAAGCAAATGAAGTTAGTAACTTTATCTTTACTTTATCTATAATAAAAGAAACTTCAAGATACTTACGATAAAAAATTCGTCAATGCAGAGATATATACAATGTACATGTAGTATCACGACCTGTCGTTTTGAATTGTGGAAAAGTTAAAACAATTATTTTCAAAACGTAAGGCTTTATTGATGTTATTTCGTAAACCCCGTACCGCTCCAGGAAGAACTAAATACATGCCTTTTAATTTTGTCTTGGTGGATGGGAGTTAAAGTTACGCCTTTATAGATCATATTGTGACAAGTCAGTTAAACATATGAAGACAGACCCAATTTGAAACATGGTTACCAATACTAGTTTAATAAGTGTTGTTTGATGCGCCGGGAAAAATGTAAATCTATTGTCCAGCACCACCTTTTTTAAAACATGTCATCGAAATCACTCGATAATTCATATTTTTCATGATCTTACAAAAATCCTCTACTGTAAAGAAAATAATCAACATGTCATTGCTTTCTGCAAACGGAAAGTTAGTGGGTGATTACCCTGGGAAACTAAACAGATTCATAAAGAAATATATGTGCGTTTCGCCGGCCTAAGGCCGGTCTGTTTTCAGCTTGACTTCCCGTAAAATTTACAGGGAATAATGGGATATATGAGAACAGTTTTCATTGGTCATTTTGAAATTTCAAAATGAAATCTTTGAATGTCAATAAAATGTTAAGGATCATTCTTGTCATTGGAGATGTCATCAGACCTCTCCACAGTGTTGAGTTTGATTGCCAACGGCATCCATTTTTGCGTATCAAATTGAGTTAAATGAATCTCATTTACAGCCTTAAAACATTAAAACCAGCCTACAAACATCGTTATGCGCATGCCTCGATTCAAAATACGACTTTATTTAAACGAAAAATTAACATCGTCTGTAGTAAACTTTTTTTTGTTTTGTGAAAGCGAATTCGTAAAAAAAGTAACAGTAAACATTTATAATAGCTACAATACTGTGAAATTTGAAAAGAAGTATTGTTTTTAGGATGGTATATCTGGCCAAAATTTCTTTACTCATTTCGTTGTAAAACAATTGGGTCATTAACAGTCCAGGTCATTGGCAAAGCTCAGTTATTTTTAGATATGATCAGCCAGTGAAGGTCGCGTAGAATCAGCTTTCCAAGTGAAATATTTTTAGCCCTTCATCATCTCTTAAAAATATCAGATTTTATGAATGAAATTTCTTACTGCTTTGTCTATATGGAGATTGCATGTACTAATGTTGAGCTGTATAAAATAGATTTTCTCAGTTTATTTTTCTGCTGTTAACAAGTTTAAAGAATGGTTAATTAAATGCAAGTGTATCAATCTTAAATACCATAAATTATGGAACGCCACAGTTGCCTCATGTTGTTATATTTCGTTTTATTGTCCCGAAAACGCGTCTTATTATGTAAATTAGTAGTGTTGGCTTGCCAACGTTTTATGAGAACCTGTCATAACGAAGTTTTATAAGGTCAAATATTCATGTTATCTTTTCAAAACATGGTGGTCTAAACATTGTATAATTGCTTCAAATCCACATGTTATCATGTCGAAATCCGGTGTTAAAATGCCTAATGGAAGTCTTAATAAGTCTGACATGCACGCCATCTTATCGAATTTAGATTTCAACATGTCTAAACATAGCATTGTTTAAATGTGGTGTTGAATTGTCTTAAAATTGTCTTATTATGTAAAACAATAGTGTTATCTTGTCGTAATTTGGTGTCATCTTGTCCAAATGTGATCCTTGTTTGTTATGGCACTGTTGTGTCATATTATACTGTAATATTGACTTGTCTATACATTGTCACGTTTTGTAAGACTGCCATGTCATTGTGTTCAAATAGAGAGTTCTTTTGCCTAAAGAATGTCTTTCTTGTCAAAATAGTATGCTGTCTTGTCCAAACGTGGTGGTAAATTGTCTAGAATTCGAAATTGTCTTATTATGCGAAACAGTAGTGTTATCTGGTCGGAACTTGGCGCAAACTTGTCAAACTCGTGTCTCATTATGTCGACATGTAGTGATATATTGTTCAACCTTTATATTGACTTTTCTGAATATTGTCCAGTTTTGTCAAACTGATATGCTGTCTTGTATGATTTGGAGTTGTTCTTTCCTATTGTGCCAAAACATCATGCTATCTTGTCAAAACTGTTGTTATCCTGTCTGAAAATATACATATTATGTGATATACGTATACATATTATGTGAAATACTAGTGTTGACATGCCAAAAAATTATGTCTTATTGCGAAAACATTATTATATTATGTCAAACTGTCACGCTATTTTGTCCAAATGCAGATTTAACTTTTCTAGATTCGTCTTATTATGTCAAATAGTAATATTATCACGTCGAAACGTGGTGATGGTTTGTCTAAATTTGCTATCCTTTTGTCAAAGTGTCATTTTATTTTGTCAAGGTCCGGTGTTAATTAGACTAAACATCGTCCTTTTATGTCGAAGTATTATTTTTCCTTTTTCAAATGTGGTGTTAACTTGTTAAAACACAGAACCATCATGTAATAAAGTTGACTTGCTTATTACGTTAACTTGTCTAAATGCCATCTCATTATGTTAGATAATCGTTTTATCCCGTCCAGATGAAATGTCCAAATTTAGTATCAAGTGACCAGAGCCCGCGCGAATAGAGATGGCGGAGCGTGAAAAAAAAGCAAAAAGGATAACGGGACAGTTTAACAAAATCAGACACCGCTTATTCAAGACATAACTAAATTTGAACAAAATAACACAATTATTAGACATAACAAGACTGTTTTTTTTTGACAAGAAAACATGAAATTGTGACAATACAGCACTTCTCTTTTACATTATAAGAAAGAGTTTTGACAAGTCATTACCACATTTCGACAAGATACCGAAATATTTTGACTTTATAAGACTGAGTTTTAATAAGTCAGAACATTTTTTTGACAAAAAAAGCATACAGATTATCATAAAAAGGCACGCTTTAGTCCATTCAACACCCAATTTCGGCAAGATAATGCGAATATTTGATATAATAAGTCAATTCAGTCGTATACGTTGGCTAATTAACACTTCCGTTTGTCACAATAAGACAATATTAAGGCATTTAAACACCATATTTTGACAAAATAACATAGCAGTTTGATAAAACTGTTCTTTGACAAGTCAACACCAAATTTCGATAAGAGAACACTACTGTTTCAAATGATCAGGCAGTCTTTTGACAAATCAGCACCACAATTTGGCCAAATAGCGCGACTGGTTGACATAATATGACACATTTCAGACAAGCCAAAACGACATTTTGATATGATAATACTACTGTTTGAAGTTATTAAACATTGTTAAGACAAGTCAACATCACAATTTGAAGAGATCAGACTATTGTTACGCATAATAAAGCAACGTTTAGACAAGTCGTCAAAATACTATGGCAGCACAACACTAAAATGTATATTATTACTGGTATTATCTGTAAATATACTGCGAACTTGTAAGTTGAACAAATGTTAACATGTATATTTATGTATTTTTGTATTTATGTTTGTATTGCACAACAGGCTGTATACCTAAACCACTTGTGTACCATTTTGAACATTGTTACGGGATGTAAGCACGCGCAGTATTCAGGTCGCACAAGGAGTCGTTCAAGTGGGTCGCGCGCAAGTCCATTTTTGCACATAACGCAAACAAAAGGGTATATAAACTGAATTTTTTGTTGGGATTCTTTGAGTCGAGTTGAGTTATTGTAGTTTAAGTGTTTAATTTGCTTTTAGAATATTGCTAGTATATAATTATGATGCATAATTTTATTTTAATTGATTTTATTATCATGCTTTCACTTGGACTTAATCTATACAAGCATAGAGTTCTAAATGAAAGACATTTCAGCGAAAACGTGTTTAATTAGATTTCTATTCAAACAGAGTAATTTCGTAACAATATCACCATGCAAGCACTATTATATGACCTAGTGAACCGTGTATGGAAATTGTGTTGTTTCTTTAACTTCGGAACAGATCGCCGATTATTCCTAATCCGACTGTATTGTTCGACTAATCAGAAGTTCTTACTTTCCCGCCAATCGAACAATTTAATAAATCTTCAGAACACTCGGCAATCTTATTTATACGCTGGGGCCAAGCTCCCTCGTACATATCTAATAGCCTCGTGTTTCGATGTTCTTTCTATTACAAAACTATCAGCTAGAGCGTGTGTAATACAATTATCAAAATAAATCTAATATATTTCCCTCCTTAATCACATGCATGTATAGCTACGTTTACTTTAAGCAGTTATTAGGCGACAAACCACATCACCCTGTAGTTAGCAGTGGAATGTCCACGGGATGCATGGTCGCCAACAATCCATTTACTGCTCCTTACTACGCCGGATTTAGTCGTTATTGTAAACAACCAGGTGAGCTTATTTGATGTGGCATCAAACTTGTATACGTTGCCATTTGGTTTAAGAAGCACAGAACGTATGTGCTGGGCACCAAAGTCCGGTTTAGAACCATCAAATTCGATGTTGTCTGCTTCCATAAAAGTATACTCCCCAGAGGAACCTATCCAGCAATATCGTACATCTGATCCATCCTGAAAAGAAATTTCAAATAAATTTTAATTTTAATAGTAGATATTTCATAACGCAATCTTAACCAATCAGTTTTTCCGTTACGTGAGCATAAAGGGGTATATGATTTGGACAAGGATAATAATTATATAAATAAAACTGTTTGATTTTTTTTAAACAAATATCTATCTTATATTTCTTACCGTACTTTTGTACTTATTAAACAAGCATTTGTATTTTTTGTTTTAGATTCTTTCTTTTTCTTTTTTTTTTTGCAGTTTTACAATTTAACATAATTGGTTTTATTTGGTACATGTTGATAATTAAAAAATCGTCAATCATCTTATTACTTTAATTTCATTAGCCATGTGTTCTTTTGAGCCAGTGTTAACAGACATGGATCCAACATCAAGTACCATTTTTATTCTTTACGGTCTATAAACCACTTCATATCGGCAGCCGAGCTTGACACCGAGCCCTGTCCCTCGCCAACAAGGTAATTTGCCGTCTCTACCTTACTGTTTGTATTTACCAGCATCCAATCCCATTTCCCTTCAGCTCCTGTTGGATCACCCAGCGTTTCTATGCTGGATTTTTGAAGTATATCTGGTAGAAATGCAATAATTACGTCTGTTTTTACGATTATATTTGTAGCTTGAGATATTCTGTTATTTATCATTACTTTCACATGATGTCCAGCTTTAACTGCATTAATCAATTCGAGTATTGACCCTCCTTTACAGATTCCATTCTGATCATGGGAATACATGAACTGCCAACATGGATCACAGTGCCATTTCGTTTCCCGTACGCTCGAATCGAGTGGGACCCTTCTGTTTTCACCTACCAGTTATTGACTTTCTTCGACTTGTCCGTTTGAAGCAAAGTGTTGAAACAACCAATGACCAGATGTCTAAAATTAAGAAAGAAGTAATGTATGAGATATTTGCATTATCCGGTTTAAATGAATTACATACGTAACTCTTGTTAGACATGGAAACATTTGCATGTATATTGTTTATCATACAGTTTGAAACGAAATACACATACATAATGTGTATTTGATATTTTGTTGTAAACCATAGGCCATATACTTTCAACTTTCCAAATTTCATCGGAATGGTTTAACGAAACATGTTAACCGAAATTTTGACTACAGTCTTGAATTGTTCGTTTAGCAAGTTCCAAACTGTTTGGGCAACGATCTCTTTGCCATCTGACGTAACCTCAAGATTATCTGCTCTGTAATATTCTTCCGAGTTTAGAGATATGGATTATTGCTTAACTGTCACACTTTAACCACTTTGTTTAATAGCTTGACTATGTGCATTCACTGCATTAATATCATATCCGGTCGCTGGGAGGGCAGTCATATATTTGTTTTCTACCTCCCTGTGTCAAATAATTATCATGTAATCCAATACAATGGTAATTTACGGAATGAAAAATACATTAATGATTTGTTTTATTTGTAATGAAGACAACTTGCCTTAGTGTAATCTTAAACACTGGTCGATTTTAAGACTGAATATTGAGATACTAGCATTTATCTGAGATCAGTATATGAATGAATAAATGTGTACTTACTACGAGATAACGTGTAAAGTAATCTTATTGAATTTTCAAGTTTATTACATTTTTATATCTCATTGTAAAGTTCTGTTCAAATACATTTATTAACCCTTTACCTCATATATACGCGAAACAACGCACTTTCGACCCCCCCTTTTTTAGGCCTCAAATAGTGAAAAAATGTCCTATTGGGCCCCAAACACATGTTTTCGTTTGAGAAATGTTGCTAAAAAAATTGAGCACTTTTTCGGCGCCAACCCCCATCCAAAAGATCGCCAAGAAAATTTTGGACTTGTGAGAGGCTAAAAATGACCCCAGGTCGATCATAATGTAACGTGTAACCAACGCTGAAAAGCCTTTGAATCTATCTCAATCCCTTGAGAAGTTGCAGCACTTTGAAATAAATTTTGATGGAAAAAATCGAGGCAAAATAGTGATTTTTGGCAATTTTGAGATGTCACCTCGTTGCCATGGTAACAGGAAATTTAAGACTGAGCATGTCGTTACAAAGGCAATGGTCCAGTCAACATTTGTGCCAAGTTTGATTAGTATTGAAGCATTTTTCATAGTTTCATAGCAGTTTGAACTTGTAACAGGGAGCTTTTCAGTGAAAACGGCCATTTTTCACAATATGCTCATGGGGGAAAGGTTTAACTAAAAAAATTATAAATGTTACAAAACAACAATTTTTCACCAAAATTAGGTGAAAGACCACATGTTAACATGGAAAAACTAGTTTTTAGGTGATTCCAAAGTTTTCATCATTTTTTGTTAAGTGACATGAAAAAGATATCTTATTGCAGACAAAACGCTTCCTGATTTCATTCCCGAAATAAAGCTCAAATCAATATGTTACTCATTGTACACAAGGTAAATATTGGGTCATTCATTCTTGTTATACCATTTGTTTGTATATTTCATTTCAAAATTTCGAAATATCTTGAATAAGTAGAGAATATGGAAAATAAAGATATCTTAATCATGCAGTGTGCAACGCCAAACTTTGTAATATTGAACTTGATACTTTTTTCTTCATAATCAATAAATACCTTTCAAACCACTTGAATCCACTACTTGTCTGACTGTCAGCTGGTTTTGTAAGAAGTTGCAGCACTTTGAAATAAGTTAAACCTAGTTCTAAATCAATATTATAATGTCTTTAAACGTGAGCTGTTTTCATTAATTGTATCGGTGTAGAAAAACATTACAATACAGCGCTATATTTTTAATAACATATATATTTTCATAATCATTAAATTTGAGGACAAAAATACCTACATCCACATTTTTAGATTTGTTATTGGTCAAAAAACGTTAAAAAGACGTAAAAGAAGATAAATACTAAAATGAACTTTTAACATAGCACTTTGTGATTTTGTTGCTTGTAGGTAAGGAAATGGCTTTATGTTGAGACCTCTACAAAATTGATACACATAATATGTAATTTTTTAGGGCGCTAAAATTAAAATGTTTAGAGGACATTATATTGACAGCGCAGACACTACTCTGATAGTAGGAGACGAAGTTTGCGCACAGAGCATTCATCACGTTTCTAAAGCATCATGGGCAGCGTTTCAGGTAAATCATACATGCATACAAAGCAAATTTTGATATTCATTTAAAATGGATGAAGATTTCATTGCTGCTTCAATCAAGTGGGGATGAAACTAGTTCTATTCATACATTTTATGGATCACATAGTAAAAACATTTTGACTGTATACTCTACGAGTATATATCAAATATTTCAATTCTTCATTCCATTTAACTAGCTTATATTCGCTGTTGTTAAAGATTAACAATAGATCTGGATACTCGAGAGGATGTTTTTCGCACTAATGGTCCAATACATTCACGGAGCTTGGACCGATCTTTTCTTTTGTTTTTTCGGCTCCAGGCAGATCGTTTAAATCACAAAGTCATGTGGTATATGAAATAATTATCTCGTAGAAGACAAAAATGGTAAAACTATTTATATCAAAACTTATCAAAAGTGATCATTATGAACACCATTCTATTCAAGAAAATACTACTACATAGCATATTATATAAGTAGCAAAAATATCTACGTGGAAAAAGGGTATTTCTTCTTGACTATTCTCTGGTTTAAATGTAAAGATATTAGAATAGACAAATTATACAAAACAAAATGTTATGAGATAAGTTGATAAAACTTTGGTGAGAAATTTAATAGTTTTACCTGTCCTACATGTATTTGCGATGGTCCGCTGTACATGTTCCCTTCGCTACTAAAAAAATAATTTAATTGATTCTGTCATGGGCAATTATCTTACTATCAAATCCATGGAAAACCCGATTGTTTGACGACAAAGTATTAAAGAGACGCGCATCCTGTTGATTTGATACTAGAAATAAGACTGGATCTTCATAGATCCGTCATCCGACTGCATTGTTTAGCTATCAGATTCATGGCACCTACTTTTTAAGTCAACTTTATTAGTTTATACTGAAGATTTATAGTGAAAATGTAGCTTTTTCAGTATACGGGGAGATTCAGCAATATATGGCAATCGAGTTGACTATGAAGGTAGACATATTCGTCTGCATTTCTTATGCATGTATATGGAAACAGAGCATTTTATTGACGTGTTTAACTGCTTCACTGGAGATAAGTTGAACAAAGCATGAAATTCTACAGTAGATTAACAAGAACGTAGTATTTGCAAAATTATGACACTACATGGTTATATTATGTATAAAGTTAGTTATATAGTCAAAGAACCAGTTTCAGTGACCGGAAGAAAATTTCTACTACAATTATTTAAAATATTGAAGGATATTCAATAAAGTTACCTTTCCTGATAAATCAATAACAATGATATTAAAAGAATTATGTTTTATGAATCACTTCATCAAACCACCCCTTATTAGATTTATAGATATTTCAATGGGTCCTATATCAGTGACCACTGCCTTACATATCACCCAGAGAATTAATTGGCAATGGAAAAAGAACACGAACTGATCGCAGAATAAATTATAATATTAACATTTAATTTTTATTTTAAACTTACGTTATAGACAGCCGCTTTACCTCCGGTAACCAACACTCCTAGCATAAAAACAGACTATACATCCATTACGTGAATTGAAACCTAAATGAAATATTTTTGCAAAATATGTCTTTTATTATATTGCTGATTTGTATTTTCTTCCGTGTCGACTTTTCATATTTTATCATCTCCTGTATCTTTAGTAGCGGCAAAGCAAATGAACTTGGAGAGTTTATCTTATTACCCCTCACTATTTTCGTAATGTTAATTTCCCATAATTTCTCTGGGAGTTATTTTTACTGTTAATGCAAGTGTACCACGTGGCTAAGAATTTTGTACTGTTACATAGGTAACAGTATTTTTAACAGTATAAAATCTGGTCACGTGGTCTATTTTCTAAATAAAATGAAATAAAATGGCCGCCATTTTTTTTCTTTTCTTGTACAGTGCTATATTGTATAAAAGCTCCACACTTCGTATCAGTTTAAATATGATACATTTTTCTGGTCTTTCTGGGTCAGGTCGTTTATTGCTTTTGAAGTCATTGATAGGGACGTGAGAGGTGTATGCTCCATTTTACATAATCTCTCATGAACAAAGACTATCAAACAGAGTCTGCAAATACCAATTATGAATTTACGTTATATTTTCTCAAGAGCGATTTTTCTCCAGAACTTTTTATCAAATATAAATAGCAGTTCCGAAAGGCTCATTTATCTGCCAAATACGCTTTTATAACAATTAAGGAATCAGTTCATGAAATAATCACTATATAGAGAACATATAGTGCATATCAAAAAGAAAGATAATCTTTGATCAACGTAAATAAAACGCGCTTTTCTACAATTTGAAGGTTATAAACCTTGTAATTGCAATATGTTAATTATCCTCTTAAAATCTTACCCATTTTCAACAATCGCTGTAAATAAACAAATTAAAAGTAAATTGCTGGCTTTGTTAGTGCCATGAACTTTAAATTGAAATCACCAAAATTTTCATTGAGATAAGCCATTTTATTTACATATTAGTGACAACAAGCTTAAAAAAAAAAAAAAAAAAAAAAAAAAACCTGTGTCTAAACGAATGAATAGCCATAAATTTGATATATGCAATTTTGTAGATCCTGCATTCTCCACTAATGTTGCAAATCATTTTAATAAGGACGATCATAATTTTACCGACTTTTCATTTATGCCCATAGATGTTGTTTACAATACTTTAGATCGTTTGTGCAAAGAAACATTTTGGATTCATAAGCTAAAAACTCATTTTCCAGAAGGAATGAACACAAAGTTGTTATACTCAATTATATAATTCATAAAATATCAATCCACGCTACAAATGCTAGAATTACGCCACATAGATATTCGTTTTTTCCTATTATCATTTTTTATAATTAAACCCTATAGGAAATATTCGTATTTATTAATCCGATATCTATTGTGTCGTTTTTATATTTTGATGCTTTGTTTGGTGCACTTATCTCTTTTATCATGAATTGGAATTGTTCGTATTTGTTCGTTTTTCCGCTAAAGTGGGCGTGACGTTAATTGTAAAATTACGACGTCACGTCCGTTGATATTATTATTATTTATTTACCTTGAAAAAGGCATACATTTGCCGAAACGTTGGAAAAATAAAAAATGATATTATACGTGTTATTGCTGTGACTTTATTATTTTGACAACAAGCTTACAATTTCTGATCCAAGAGAAATATTTCAAGCTATGTGTCAGTAGTATCCCATAATTGGCACAAATCAAAGCTTTCTACATGATTTTCTAGATTTACCTGAGCACAATTAAACTGCTTAAGGCATTTTATTTCAGAACTATCCTTTACATTTTACTTTACATAGGCAATAACTATCCTTACAATTTAAGTTTAGACTTATCTTTAATAGAATGACAAGATTTATCCTTTACATTTTATTGATATTCAAGGATTTCATGTAACCAATGAAAACTTCTCTCATATATTTAGTTCTTCCCGGTCATTTTTACAGGAAGTCAAGCTGAAAACAGACCGGCCTCTGGCCGGAAAAACACACATTTATTTCTTAATGAATCTGTTTAGTTTCCCATGGCATTCACCCACTAACTTTCCGTCTGCAGAAAGCGATGGCATATGTTAATTATTTCCTTTACAGTAAAGTATTTTTGTATGATCATGAATAAGTAGGTAAATATGTACGAATTATCAAGTGATTTCGATGACTTGTTTTAAAAAAGGTGGCGCTGGACAATAGATTTCCATTTTTCCGACGCATCAAACAACACTTAAGATAATATTAATGCAATCATATTTCATCTCTTTTTTGAAAGATACGTCTTTCCTTATAATGTAAAACCACGGATTTATGTAATATAAATCCGTGGTAAAACTGACGTATCACAATATGATCTTTAAAGGCGTATCTATAACTCCCGTCCTCCATCAGCTTAAAAAGGACAAAATGAAAAGACATGTACTTACTTCTTCCTCGCATGGTACGGGGTTTACAAAGTAACATCAGTAACGCCTTACTTTTCTAAACAAAAGCTTGAAAATATTTGTTTTAACTTTTTCACCATCTAAAATGACATGTCGTGATATATAATTTATACGTATATCTGCCTATCGAACGAATCTTGAAGTTTCTTTTATGTTAATGATAACATTATATAAATAACACATGGGTTTGTGGGTAACAGTATAAATATCATACCGAGGAAAATACTGATACCCGAGGCTACGCCTCATAACAGTATTTTTACGAGGGATGATATTTTTACTGTTACTCACAAACCCATGTGTTATTTATTTTATTACCCCGAACAAAAATACTGTGATGATCTGAAATTGTCAACTAAATCTAACTGTAACAAAAATAAAAACTAAACTGTCCTTACCTTTTAAGTTTTAAGTGTACTTTAGGCCTACTTGAGACGTTTTCTTTTTCTTTTATTCTTTAAGCAAGTGATGATATCTACACGTCATAAACATACAATAAGCTAGGTTTCATTTAGAAAACAAACACTAACCCATTTATACGGTTATGATCTGTGAAATCTGATCCTTCTGTTTCCAGAATATTCTTCGCATGGTTTTTGACAAAAATAACGATGATATCCAATGTTTGCCAACCATATCTGTAACGTTTCACTGATTAAAATTGTTAAATAATCCTTTGTTGCATGCTTGTCTGCATGTTCCAGTTTGACACATAATTATTTACATTGCAAAAAGCACACCAGGGTGCAAACAACTAAATTTTATGAGTGTCATAGTTACTCCAGAGAATAAATGGATGTCCTATCGGGGTTGAACGTCGAAAATAAGAATGAATCGAGAAAAAGTGTTTCATGTACATTACATTACATTACGCCTCTTGTAATAATTATTGTTCCATCCCTTCCATGTGTTGTGTAATTATAACAATGTATATAGTGTTCTGCAAATATAACAATGTAGTATTGTTCAAGTACTGTATATAACAATGTAGTGTTTATGTTTGTCCTTTATTCGCATCAATTCTTTGTAAGATCAGAATGTCTTTGGTCTTTTAGAAACATCTTCAGCCATTGCTAAGCCACTGCTGATTGTCTGTTAGCATTCTTGTGGCAACAAAATCAATCCTTTAGGCCAATGCAGACCGATATCAGCCGGTACACCAGTTGCGTCTAGTTGTGGTCTGCATTACATGTATTTGCCATTCATTGTTCAGTCAGTACTTTAAAAACAATGATTATTTTCCAAATTGAAAGACGGAGAAGTCTACTTAGATATTTCACGTAAAAAGGATAAAACTACAATATGAAATGCTCCAGATTCGTAAATATAAATCATTTTATCTTTGTTGTATTACATTTTGACAAGCAAGAGGAAGATATCTTTCTGAAAAAAGCTAGTCAGTGAAGACATCATGTGGCATTCGCGGTGAGAAATATAACATGATTTTTTAACACAAAACTATTAAAATGCTTTATACATTATTACGTATTATTTATATGTATTTGATTTGAATTTTAAGGAGGATTAAAAGCTTAGAAGGTAGCTGAGTTTGTGGAATTTTAAATTCTTTATCAAATTTCCACAACCACCATTTATATACATTGTAAATCAGAGACATATTTCTTGAAAACACATAGAACTATTCTAACGTGTCTGTGCTATGATAAACATGTACAAGTATTCTGTGTAAATACATAGTTAAAATTCTCCAGAAAACATTTGTCATTGAATGTGTATGTATATTTTGGCAATTGGACTTTGTATTATCCTTTACGCTAGATGAACTTCGTGTATGAAAAGAAAATGTCATTCATTATCTCAGTGCACATATAGTAAAAGGCAATATCAAATATGTTAAGGCAATATCAAATATGTTAATAAAAAGTAAATATAAGATAATACATTTTCTCTAGGTATTAGGAAAGTGTTGTACATGATTTCAAAATCTGTTTTTCTAGCCATTTTCTCAAAGGTTAAAAAGAAAACAAAACACACAAAAAAATAAACAAACAAACAATAACTATTATATTTTGCTGAGAATGTTGTTATATTCAATTAAATTCAAAAACTTTATTGCTCTAAACATTATACAATTCTTTTAGCATCAGCATATAAACATTTGAACAGAGAAAGTACAATATCAATTAGATTTACAAAGAATTTTTCTGGAATACATGAGATGTTTAAAAAGACAACTAACATATTTCAAAATATGCACACCAGTCTTGTGGATGTTGAATCTAGACAAACATGTAATTTACTTTAAGACTGTATATTTATGATTTTATCAAACAATTATGTCACACGAACATGTAAGTACTCCGTCATTATAAATCAAGATGCTACTATTATAATGTTCAGATTTGTATCCTACTGTGTATATAATAAGGAAAACTTTTAAAGATATGTCTATAAAGCTTGAATAATAAATATATAGCAAATAAATGTCATTCTTATTGATGGATTTTAGAGCAAGTCTTTTAACGTTTTTAGAAATCATTTACTTGGCCACAAACCATACTCCCAGGTGAATATTTTGTAAAAGTAAACATAATGAAAACTTAATAAAATGCAAATATCTTTGTTTAAATTGATAACGTTTTTATGAGAGCTGAAATGTTGATGTAATGGGTACAATATTATTTTTTGTATCATAGTTTGGGGGCCTTTCTGTTAAAATGTGTCAGAGTTAAATCGTATACATACATATGCATGCACAGTGCGTTAATTGGAATACAGGTTTTAGTTACCCGCACTCCAGAGAATGCCAATTGATTGACTTTTTTATCTTGTGTTTTCTTTTTGTGACGACAGAGGAAAGAATAGCGATAAAAAATTGTATTCAAATGTTCGTTCATTGGTTACCTTTTCCTTGGCTTTCAAATTGTGACAACAGGTAATGTGCTTTTATATTTGCCTATGATTCAAAAAAAGAAAGAACATCAAAACACTCGGCAATCTAATTTATACTGGGGGGGGGGGAGGCTCCTCGTACCAATCAGACAGCCTCGTGTTTCGATGTTCTTTCTATTACAAAACTATCAGCTAAAGTTGACATGTTTCAGTAATGTTCGTGCAAGATGATACCCAATCTTTGAATTGTACATAAAAATACGTTGTAATACAAGAAGGAATATATGCATGCATAAAAGCGTGTGTAATACAATAATCAAAATAAATTTAATACACTTCCCTCCTTAATCACATACATGTAGCTACATTTTCTTTTAGCAATTATTTGGCGACAAACCACATCACCCTGTAGTTAGCAGTGGAATGTCCACGGGATGCATGGTCGCCAACAATCCATTTACTGCTCCTTACCACGCCGGAGTTAGTCGTTATTGTAAACAACCAAGTGAGCTTATTAGATGTGACATCAAACTTGTATTCGTTGCCATTTGGTTTAAGAAGCACAGAACGTATGTGCTGGGCACCAAAGTCCGGTTTAGAACCATCAAATCCGATGTTGTCAGCTTCCATAAAAGTATACTCCCCAGTGGAACCTATCCAGGAATAGCGTACATCTGCTCCATCCTGAAAAGAAATTTCAAGTAAATTTAAGTATTTTATAAATAAATCTTAATCGATCATTTTTTCTATTACGTGGTTATGAAGGAGTTTATATCGTATATTTGTCAGGGATTTTTTGGCTTATTTTATAGCCGTAATTGGGTCATATTCCCAATTTAAAATAGTATAATATTTTCCCAATCCACAGGAAAAAATTCCCAATTGAACATTAAATAATATGAATATTGAATAAAAATTCTAAAATCTTTGTAAATAAGAGCTTCTTCACTGTAATAATGCTAAAATTCTATAAGATGCCATCCTAGACAGTAATTGTTTGCATCCATTTAATCACTGCAAAATTTCAGTCATGCATTTTTTCCCAATTTTAATAAAACACCGCTGAAATTCCCAATTTCATGGGTATGGGTCGTGTTCCCAAAATCCTGGAAAAATCCCTGTTTGTTGTCGTATTTTTGTAATCTTTAAATATTGGTTTGAATTAAGATTCTTTATTCAGTTTTACAACTAAACATAATTGGTTTTATTTGGTTTATGTTTTCATTAAAAATCGCCAATCATCTAATTAGTACCTTAATTTCATTTGCCAAATGTTCTTTTGAGCCACTGTTTACAGAAGTGGGTCCAACATCAAGTACCATTTTCCATTCTCGGCGGTCTATAAACCACTTCATTTCGGCAGCCGAGCTTGACACCGAGCCCTGTCCCTCGCCAACAAGGTAATTTGCGGTCTCTACCTTACCGTTTGTATTTACCAACATCCAATCCCATTTCCCTTTAGCGCCTGTCGGATCCTCTAGCGTTTCTATGCTGGATTTTTTAAGTATATCTGGTAGAAATGCAGTAATTACGTCTGTTTTTACGATTACATTAGTAGCTTGAGATATTCTGTTATTTATCATTACTTTTACACGATGTCCAGCTTTAACTGCATTAATCAATTCGAGTATTGACCCTCCTTTACGAATTCCATTCTGATCATGGGAATACACGAACTGCCAACATGGATCAAAGTACCATTTCGTTTCCCGTTTGTTTGAATCGATTGAGACCCTTTTGTTTTCACCTACCAGATATTGACTTTCTTCGACTTGTCCGTTTGAAGCAAAGTGTTGAAACAACCAATGACCAGATGTCTAAAATTAAATAAAAAAGGAATGTATTAGATATTTGCATTCTCCGGTTTTAATGAATTACATACGTAAACTCTTGTTAGACATGAAAAAGTGAAAGAATTTCATAAGACATGTTGTCTTTCATTCTAATCCTGTTTTTTAAGAATATTTGAATTGCATCTGTATATTGTGAATTATAACATGTATATATATTCTGAGAAATAAAATATGTTTAAACTAAAAAGTGAAAATGGAAACATTTGAGTGTACATTGTATATAATAAAGTTTGATACGAAATACACATCCATAATGTGTATTAGATAGTTTGTTGTATATTTATAACACTTTCAACTTGAATGGTTTAACATGTTTACCGAAATTTTAACTGCAGTCTTGAATTTTTCGTTTAGCAAGTTCCAAACTGTTTGGGCAACAATCTCTTTGTCATCTGACGAAACCTCAAGGTTATCTGCTCTGTAATATTCTTCCGTGTTAAGAGATTTGGATTCTTGCTTAACTGTCACACCATAACCACTTTGTTTAACAGCTTGAATATGTGCATTTACTGCACTGATATCATTTCCGGTCGCTGGGATGGCAGTCATATGTTTGTCTTCTACCTCCCTGTGTTAAATAATTATCATATAATCCAATACAATGGTAATTTAAGGAATGAAAAATACATTGATTTGTTTTATTAATAACGAGGACAACTGGCGTTACCAAAAGCATATTAGTGTAATCTAAAACACTGATCGATTTTAAGACTAAATATTGAGATGTTTTTCAGAGATCAGCATATGAATGATTAATGTGTACTTACTACGATATAACTTGTAAAGTAATCTTACTGAATTTTTAAGTTTATTACATTGTTATATCTCATTGTAAAGTACTGGTCAAATACATTTATTAAGTGACATGAAAAAGATATCTTATTGCAGACAAAACGCTTCTCGATTTCATTCCCGAAATAAAGCTCAAATCAATATGTAACTCATTGTACACAAGGTAAATATTGGGTCATTCCTTCTTGTTATACCATTTGTTTGTATATTTCAGAATTTCAGAATTTCGAAATATCTTGAATAAGTAGAGAATATGGAAAATAAAGATATCTTAATCAAATAGTGTGTCACACCAAAGTCTGTGACATTAAACTTGATACTGATGAATTGTACTTTTTCTTGATGATGAATAAATACCTTGCAAACCACTTGAATCCATAAGCCGCCTGATTGTCAGCTGGTTTTGTGCGGTCTCCAACATACCACCGTGACATCGAGAAATCTCCGGTCGTACAAGTAACCGTAAACCACCAATATGCCTTTCCCTGCATTTGTATTAGTCACACATTATTATGAATGTAAAATAATAGTTCTGTCCCCCAATATTTTCTCTACGATTTTCTATTGAAATAATTAATGATCTAGTCTTCGAATACACGTTCTGTGGTTCAGTCCTCGGATGATTAAAGTGATGATAAAGTAAATGTTCAGCCGTCCAACACATGCTCAATGATTTTATAGCTATAAGGCACATTCTTCCAAATGATGTTCAATATATGATTATAAAGTCATGGCTAAGTCTTACAATACATACATTTTGAAGTAAATTATTTAGTTTAACAACACTTGCACCATAATTAGAAGTAATGATTTAGTCTTTCATTACATGTTGTATCATTTAAAATGATTATGTCTTAGAATATATGTTGTATTATTTAAACAATTAACTAATTTAGATATAAATATAAATTACTTTCTGGTCCATAAAAGCATTAATAGGATTGGCTTCATTACGGAAGACCATGAGTGCCAGGTGTATGTTTTTATTAACTCGAAATTTCAAGTTATTAACTCGAAATTTCGAGATACTAACTCTAAATTTCGACTTACTTATCTCGAAATTTCGAACTACTACCTCGAAATTTCGAGTAACTTGTCTTGAAATTTCGAGTTACTAACTCGAAATTTCAACTTACTAACTCGAAATTTCGACTTACTAACTCGAAATTTCGACTTACTTACTCGAAATTTAGACTTACTTACCAGAAATTTCGACTTATTACTCGAAATTTTGACTTACAGTGCACGACTTACATTGGTTGCCGGTGAAAGCAAGGATTGAATTCAAGATACTTTCTTTCATATGAAGCTGTTGCACATTGACAGAGTACCTATGCATGTAACAGAACAATTAAATAGGGTCAAATTGTCCTCACATACCAAACATATTCTTCCCATTTTCTTGATTGATTTTTGTGTGGGGGTGTCAATATACTATATTCATTTATTTACTAAGACTTTGAATCATATTGTGTTGATAAAAGTGGAACTTGTTGTTATATACATGTTGGGGATAATATTAAAGCATCCGATTTTACAAGAAATATAGACAGTAGGCCTCAGCACGCCCTATTTTGGCCACTCCGCGGTACTTTCCTCAGATGCCCAACTCGTGAAGTATAGGATCATTTTATTCACAGGGATGAGAAGAATATGATTAGTGAAAAGATATGTTCGAACAGGTGAGATACAATACAACGCCTGAAGAACGCCTGAAAGTACAAATTAAAGGAAGCCTTGTGTTTGTTTTTTTTAGGTCGGGCGTGTACATGCCATTGTCAAAAGTGACCACACTAATAAGTTTAAGTTTAACTTTAATAGTTTGTCAAGGCACACGTTTCTCCCACTCCATTGTTCAATCGCACTCCCCACTATATCTTATATTATGTTAACTCTTGTAACTCATAACTTTGACCATTCTAGTAATGTTACTAAGTCGAAATTCCGAGTAACTTAGTCGAAATTTCGAGTTACTAAGTCGAAATTTCGAGTTAGTACGTCGAAATTTCGAGATAAGTATCTCATAATTTCGAGTTAGTATGTCGAAATTTCGAGTTAGTAAGTCGATATTTCGAGTTACTAAATCGAAATTTCGAGATAAGTAACTCAAAATTTCGAGTTAGTATGTCGAAAATTCGAGTTACTTAGTCGAGATTTCGAGTTACTAAGTCGAAATTTCGAGATAGGTTACTCGAAATTTCGATTTACTAACTCGAAATTTCGAGTTAATAAAAACACACACACTTGGCACTTATGCTCTTCCGTACTTCATCCCCACTTGATTGAAGCAGCAATAAATTTTTTTTCAACTTAATGTGTTTTGCATGCATGTATATGATTTACCTGGAACGTTGCCCATGATCCTTTAGAAACGTGATGAATGCTCTGTGCGCAAACTTCGTCTCCTATTACCAGAGTAGTGTCTGCGCTGTCAACATAATTTCCTCTTAACATTTTAATTTCAGCGCCCTAAAATAATTACATATTATATTTATTTTCTTTCACCTCAATAACAAATTGAATAAAATGTGGGTGTTTATATTTTTGTACTCAAATTTAATGATTCAAAAAAATATATACGTTAGTAAAAAATATAGCGCTGGATTGTATTGTTATTTCGTTACTGATACAATTAATGAAAACAGTTTGCGTTTAAAGACATTATTTTATTGATTTGGAAATCGGTTTTATTTAAAAAGAAACAGTCTACAATGTTAAGATGAAATGTCAATGATATAGATATTGCATGAGAGAAACAAATGGAATCACCATTTATTTTGATGAAATCGTGTGCGTAAAAATAACATACCCTTCTGACAGCGTTCATTAAGTCCGGCTTACTTCCAGCTAAGACATTTCCCTTTGAGTCATGTTCGAATACCATCCGCCATGTTTTTTTACATTTATCTGAAACATTCAAAATATTTTAAATTAAGTTATTGTTTCACAGCTGACCTAGATGAACTGAAAATCTCTATTCATTAAAAAAATACCAAGCTTGCTGACGATTTTTCTATAGGTTTGTAAGAAGTGGATGCTTTTATTGCAGATAGGGTGTTACCCTTAAAAACTTTTAAAGTAAATTTATATTCAAAATTTCAGAGGAAAACTCGAATAAAGAATTATGAACGTATGAACGATCGAAGCCCGTTCATATCGCCTATACAAAAAAAAGCTCTCCATGAACTCTTCCATTTCTGATGAACAAATATGCAAATTACATTTATTGCAAGGCTCTTCATCTGACAGGTCTGCACATTCTGGAACACCGTCACAACATGATGAACATCCGGTAGTACCGTTATACAGGGTACATTCTGACTGTCCTGCAGGGCACCCTGAAAAATCAACAGACACTCTAAATCAAATGGTATCAATAAGAAAAAGATTTAATAGAAATTATCTATCTCTCTTACATTCGATTTTATAAAGAACTACATACAGTTCATATTCTACTAGCATATGAACTTTTCAATTGAAATAAATAAATAACAATCATTAAACAACGACAATATTGTCATAAATTCATGATAACTATTATGATGATGGCATAAAAGGCTTATGCCACTAGAATAGAGCCTTCGCGGCGCTCAATTTATGTTTTCCTTATCTTTAATTAGTTAATTAATTGATTAATTAATCAAATAATAACCCTGAAATTAGCAATAGACAGCTTGAACTTTAACTTAAAGAACAATAATAGTGTTTTTTTTAACTTATACTAGTATTTTACCTTTCATCCAAGTGTCTTTCACACAATAACTTGTTCCGTCTGGTGCCCGACAGTTTCGGTCAATTGTGCACGTTTCACCAACATCACATCTCGGAATTATCTGAATTAAAGGCCCACTATGACTCAGAAATGCTATCATTATTATTTCTAAAAATACTTTTATTTTTGTTATCTTGTTAAAGTTTCCAAATAAACTCAATTACTATTTAGCCTTTGCTTCATTTACTCAGTTGGCAATTGGTATTTTTACAGTGAATTAGCATTTTGTACGGAAGTCAAAATACTGGTTTGTTAAATTTTGCTACCTTAACAGCACATTACTGCCATTTAGCCATAGCATCTTCATTTGTTACACATCTATCATACTCTAAATCCAAAATTACAACCTCAACAAACACATGTTTCACGTTTCAAAATAATAAAAAATATGGATTACTGAGGCATCATGTGCCTTTAATTATTTCACCAAATGATGAAAATATAAATAATATCGATAGAAATTCAAATTCCTGAATTTATCCACAGTATAATCTAATTTGCTTGGGATCAAAACTTAAAATTTCAATAAGATTTACTAATTTCAATACAAGATGATTCTAACCTAATTTTACAAAAGCTTAAAATGTGTGTACTAAACTCTATCAAGTTATACCTGTCCTTCATGCAACTGTACACCGTATCCTTGGCCGCTGTAAGATAAATTATATCTTTTGTCACATTTTTAATTCAATAAGACTAAAAATAACGAGAACCTCTTTCGCACGTTAATGACTTATTTCAACTTTTTATTGCGAAATCTTTAAATCAGATCTAGCATAAAAGTGAGATTTATTGAAAACGTACAGTATTTGAAAAGTGAATCGATAAATAAAATGTAACTGTTTGATAAAGAATATAATCAGAATCAATGAGACCGTAAAAAAATGTTTGTATCACTTTTAATTATTATCATTATTATTATCTCAATTAATTGTAATTCATCTAAATAGCATGTATAAAATGTTTTCAATTAATGCATTAAAGATATACATATCTTGATTTACTTACAAGATGGGCACAGCTGCCTCGCATCCGACAACAAAAGTCCCGACTACTAAAAGAAAGCATACGTCCATCGCGAGATGTCAGTTTTAGATTTTTGGTTTGCGAAAGAAGCCTTTTATAGCGCGTTTTCCCCACTGCGTCAGTATTTTCTTTTCAAATTACAACCACTCCCGTTTCTTTTTCTCTACAATTAAGGATGATTCGTTCTCACTTGAATAATTAAATGTAAATTTCATTTGAATATTCACATCCTAACATATTTCGGATTGTTTATCAGGTAGTAGATCACTTTGACAACATTAAAAAAATAAAACAACACTTTGTACGGTCGATAAAATCTCGCTGACGCAAGTTTATATATATCAAATCACTCACTCGCATTTTTACTAGTTTTTATGTTAAATTGACTGTTACCATGATTGGCTGATTGCATGAAACGTCACGGTACCAAGTATATCAACATCCGTGATTGACTAATTTTTAGTATATATATGCATTGCAAAAATATACCAAGGTAAACAACAAAGCTATCGCACAAATGCAACTCTTCTTTATTTCAACAATTTGCAGCTGTTATTATTTCAAAGAATTTCAAACATTTATATAAAAAGTGCTTGTTTTAGGAAATAATTCGACAATAACTTTTATATCTCAGGGATGACATGCTTGTTAATAATCATACTTCAATAAAGTCAATTTAAATGAGGAAGTAATCTTGCCCTGCAATAAAACAAAGTATTTTGACCTATCCTACTTAATCGTTTAACCAAATAACAAAATATATATTACTAAAAAGGTATACATTATTAAACGTACGTAGCTGTTAATACTTCAATGAAGAAAAAATGTTTGTTTTAGGTGATTTGTTTGTGTGTTAAGAAAACTTAAAAAGGAAGTTGAAATATATTTCAATAACGTCAATTTGAAGTAGGAAGTAATCTTGCCCTACAATAAAACAAAGTATTTTGACCTATCCTACTTGACTGTTTAGCCAAAAACTGCTAAAATACAAATGTGGTATGCCGGGTTATCATTATATAGAATAGAAATAACTATCTTTATGTATAAGCTCAAAAACATCGGGGAAAACAGTATTCGGAGATATTCATCGATAATAAACCAGTATCCCCAAAAACTGGGTTATTACTGCTGTGTGCGCTGTTTCTCCCGACGGTGGAAACCGGTGGGTGCCTAAACTTCATGATACGGTTACATGAATATGTCATATATTTTTGCTTTATTAACTGATCACTAACTAAAACGTTAGAAGTATTTTCCAATTGAGTAAAATCAAATGACCGCTATTTCTATAAAAGCTAGTACTGTTACTGCCTGAATCTTTGAACGTACTGAAAACTAGAGTGATTAATAATTTTATTACAGAATGTAGAATTCGAATGGATAATAGCCCAAGTTTGACTTTGTTAAGAGAATTGAAAAAGGGTCTGAGTTTATCTGTATCTTATAAAAATAAATATATGTAATTTCAAACATAGACAAATAATATCAAAGATAAGAATGTCCTCGCATTGTCTTAATATCGAATATGGAAGACACAGGACTATTGAGAGGCAAAATAGACTATGTGAATAGTGTGACAAGCTAACAATTGAGGATGGATTTCATTTTGTACAGGAATGTAACAATTTAAATGATCTACGTATGAAAAATATTCCGAGATATTATAGGTGATGAAATGTGTTGAACTTATGAAAACAGAGAACAAACGTTTTTTACTTCATAACATCGCATTATATTTGTTGAAGTCATCTAAAAAACGCCAAGAGTTACTAAACCGTGATTAAAATACAACACTCTCGTAAATATGTAAGAATATTATTGCCATGTATTGTATACAGGATATTGAATGAGTGTAAGTTCACTACTGAATTTATTGCACGAGTTGAATAAAATTATATTATGCGAGCCTCAGGCGAGCATAATATTATTTTATTCAACGAGTGCAATAAATACAGTAATGAACTTACACGAATTCAATATTCTATTTATCACATACCCAAAAAAATAGACCGTTTAAAGTGAAATAAGAGTCATTTTTAATTGACGCGCCTATAGTATAACGCTAGCATTTAGCGCGTCTTTACACTATGTTTGTATAACGCTAATGACGTCACGTCAAAATATATGCACGGCCGTGCAATACCATATTTACGGAGTCGCAAAATCTATATGCTGTACTATGCATACGACTAAATAAACCTTCTGTTCTGTTCGTTACAGTATACCGTAATAATAAAGTTTATGGTAATTATTGAATGTAACAGTTTATAAGCGGTCAAGCAAGTCAATTTTATATAAGTTATTATTGCATTATTATCTTTACAATAATAAAGAGCAACATTCTGACAGACATGTTAGAATGTTTCTCTTTATTATTGTTAAAATAATCCAAGAAACATTTAGTCGTTATTATATATCTAATGTTGCGAAATAGTTATATGTATACTAAAAAAATTCAATACTTAACAAAAATTCAAACTCACTTTTCTAATCTTTGATCATTCTTAAATTATGATTTAATTCAATTTAAAAAATCAGAAAATGTTACATAGTATGCAATCTAATTAAACAAGAGTAAAAATAAACGAAGGGCAATAACTCAAAAGTAAGGCAAGGCAGGGTTATGGTTCTTTTGCAATGTACAAATGAGATCTATCAACAGACAATTGTCTTTTTCATAGACAAAGTTCAAAGTGCAAAAATGAAAAAAGGGCAATAACTCCAAAATTAGGCAAGGCAGAGTTATGTATTTTTTTTTTTTTTTTTTTTTTTGGCACTGCACTTTGACCCAATAAAGTCTATCTACCTACAAAGTTTCATGTTGATATCTCTAACAGTTTTAGAGTTATGTCCCAGAAAATTTTAAAATGTAAAAATGAATAAAGATCAATAACTCCAAAATTAGGCAAGACAGAGTTATATTTCTTAAGCACTGCACATCTACTAATGAGATTTATTTACCTACAAAGCTTCATGTTGATACCTGTTATAGTTTTAGAGATATGTTCCTAACAAAAATCAAAGTGTCAAAACAACTAAGGGCAATTATATGCTCACAAATGTTGAACGAAAAAGGCACCTCATAATCACACGACTGATTATGGATTTCTTGGCTGTTTTACGCTTGTGAGCATTCACGATTTGCAAGTGCAAATTATTAAAATATACAGTTATTTCATTGGTGTTTGTGTAAGTTACTGGTACTGATAAAGATAAGTATATCAAAAACAGCGCTTACGCGTTTCTTGAATTAAACGGCAATTGCTGTATATCGACTTATCTGCTATTAGACCCATTTGTTTGTGAGAAACTTGTGAATGAAATGAAAGCGTATATACATGTAGTTGTTTAAATATTTCAATCACAATTACCTTTTCTGAAATAAATATCTTTAAATTAAAATGTTTTAATGCTTATCTAAAAGAAAAACAACAAATGAATACATTAGAAATTATATTTTGCAATGATTTTCTTATTAACAAATGAAAGTGGTAAAAAGTCTAAAAATTGAAATTGTAAGAAGTCTGACTATTCACATTCAGCTGGAATAGATTTTTTTCTATCAAACATATCCATTTTCTTTTCATATTCATGAGAAGAAGTTGTCGCATTTTAACAAAGTCGGTTGATGGTCAGAACGGATATAGACAGAAATAGCGAAGACTGCCACTAATACTGCCACTATAAACTTGTAACTTGTGTAAAAAAGAAACAAGAAAAAAAACTATGGAACTGCAAATCAGATATCCAAAAAAAGTAACATTCATGCATTAATGTGGAAGAGAAATACCAAAAAGAGTAAACAATCTCCAGAACTGTCTGAGAAGCTCAGCTAAGCATCGCCTCATTGAGAGACGCTCCGGCCACAACTACTACATAAACAAATTATCAGGAATATGACTAGCTAAAGGTTCCTGCTTATACCTAAATGTCAATACAAAAAAAATTATACACCAACAATGAATAATTAAAAATAACATTGACTTTGGAGATATTGCACTCTTTTTAAATCAGTTTTCTCTTCATTTGTTTCATTTACCTAAGTTTATATGCATTCTGTAAGATACAATGTACATATTTTACAAAACACGGTTACTTCATTATCATCCACACACTATCTCTTCAAAATAACAACTTAAAATAGCTTGTTTCCAACTAAAGCGACAATCCACTTTGGTATACGAACAAAGTCGGGAATACAATTTGCTAGCCAAGGGTGTCCGAACTGTCTCAAAATAACGTTAATTTGTCGGTAATCCAAAGGTCCGTGTCCTTCAGCATCTTGTAGTCCATACCTTCGCGCCAAATCACACGTCTGTACGATTTTCCCGCTCATTTTCATCAATTCAGCGTCGGTTGCCATCGCAGCTATACACTGCCCAGCGAATTCGGTTGTTTCGGCCTTTTCAAAGTATTCTAACATTTTTTCAGGTTGTTGCAACGCTTTTGGTAAATTTTTATCCACTTCAAAGTCAGGGTTACTCAAATTATCCTGTAGTTTTGTTAAAACATTTTCCGTACCAACAGCACCAGGCCACAAACTTACAAATGCTACATTGTGCTTTCTCAACTCATATCCACAATCTGCTGCCATTCTGTCACAAGCTTCTTTTCCGATACCATAAGCGGCATTAAACAGATATCTAAGACCGCCTGCGGACGATACGTTTACTATAAGTCCTTGTTTCCTGGGAACCATCATTCTTGCAGCATAAACAGAACAAATATAATGATTCCTTAGTCCAACATTATTTATTTCATCCCACATAGTTGGCGACTGTTCCCAAAATTTCACATTCAAGGAGCTGAAAATTGCATTAACAGCCGAATACGCGTTATTTACCAATATATCCAACTGTCCCTCATTTTCGCGTTTAACTTGTTCAAACAGCCTTTCGATGTCCAGGTCTTTTGAATGGTCGCAATGTACTGGGACACAAATTCCACCGCGTCTCTCGACTTCTTGTGCTGTATCGCGTAAACATCCTCCAACTTTTGAACCTTTTGGTGGATCTAGAGTTCGCCCGGTTATGTACACTTTTGCTCCTTTGTCAGCCAATTGAAGTGCTATCCCTTTACCTATTCCCCTTGTGGCCCCGGTGACGACACAAATTTTTCCTGCAAGTGGTTTAGATGACATCTTTTTATACGAATGACCACCCCACCAACGAAGACATGGAGCTTATACGCTGATTAACTGTATACACTGATTAACTGTACCCGCGTTATCAATAGCGATTGGTTTTATGAGACACGAGTACCATTTAGTAAATACTTTTTGCGACGGACGCGCCCTCAGGCGCGTTCAGAGCTAAGTCATCTACACATGGGATTTCGTCGGCTACAATCGCGCAAAGTGTCCTAAACCGATTAACAGCCCAAGAAATAGTACATGAATTTGATCCTTCAAAACTCCCATACTTTGTCGGGATATCTTAAAATCTTCCATATTTAGCCTTTACAATTTCAAATTAAGTTATCCAAGTTAAAATATGAACGTATATTATTGATAAAAACGTTGTAGTCCCGTAGTATTATTGCGCAATATGCAAATTACTGCCGAAACGATTTACCGCTGTCGAAAAAGTAGGACAGCAAGTTATACTACAATAAATGTGGAAGCTCTGAGTTCCAAGACATTATTAGTAGGAAATAAATATTTCTACATTATACAAAACATTATTATTAACAAATCAAAAGTTTTTCGTGACTCTAGGATAACTCGCGCATTAATAAAAGAAGAACTATTTTCTTGACTCATGCTGAATATTCAGCAGTTATTAATAAATTAGATACAGTACAATGGTTAGTATAAATATCTTTTTTTGAAAATGCATGTAAGAAGAGAGTTTTTCAACACTTTACCACCCTGTAGTCTTTCATGGTAAGGAAGTTATATAATATCAGTTCTACTTCCGATTCTTGTGGTTTGTTTACATATTTTTCTAGGTCACGATATGAGTTAACCTTCGCTATTCTAAATATAGATTCTGCTTCACCTGACAAGCGATTAGGGAGTACACATTATACATGTAATAAACCAGCGGATTACATGCAATACTTTTAGAAATTCTATACAATTGTAAGAAGCAAACAAGTTGAAAATGGAATTTAGTGTGAAATTGAAAAGGACAACTAAACACTGTAGTGCTTAAGTGACATTTAAATTAAAATAAAAACGATGTGCTCTGGCCTCTACATCTTTACCTTGTAAATAAAAAAAAAATCTAAAAAATACACCATTAATTGCTGATGATTTTAACCAAAAAACTTTAATGAGACATATCCAAGAGAAATAAAAATACAAATGACTAATATTTTGTTGTCTATATGCCCACTATGATATAACACGAAGCAATTCTAAATAGCATTCTCAAATGTATAATGAATTATGCTTGAAGTTTATTTGCATGGTTTTATTTTAGAAATATTTCGTTGACAGTATTTTTTTTTATTTACATATCATTTCTTGGAATAAATCGATAAGGACACTGATTTACAAGTTTGACCAGAGTTTTTAGTTTTACATTTCATTCTGTATTTAAATGCTTGAAAGTAGAAAATATGAATTATCAGTTTGATTATATCATTTTGGGACACAAAATATATTGCTCTACAAATCTCGAACTTGTATGGAACAAATTTTCTCTGTTATATATTTTGTGTTTTGTTTTGTTTTGTTTTTTTCTAAAAAAAAGCCTTAATGTCTCTCCGGTTGCATGTCCGTCGCATTTAGTGCTGCAGCACTTTGATTTTCAACTATTATGAAAGTTTAACTGAGATATTAAGAATATCTTATTGTTATCGTTCTTTTATCTGATACAACAGCAACAAAACATATTAAAGCAGTATGCCTCTAGATGAGAGAAAATAGTTCAATTTCAATAAATCAAATTTGTGAAAATTTAGGCAAAGTAGAAATATTCAAGACTCAAGTAATACTTTACATGTTATAAGTGATAAATGGTGAATATGTTAACTTATATCTCTACGCGATATAACACATAAGGCATTTAACATATTTTTACTTCACTTTCATAACTGGGTTGATCCTTTATTTTTACTATACAAAAAATTTACTTTTATTTCATTTCAAAATTTTTCATGAAAAAAAGCTTAATCGGGACTGCTGCTTTAAAAAACCTTAGGGGGAAAACTGTTAAAAATTTTTTATACGACGGGGTTTTTAAGTTCTAAACTTTAACTAATCTGAAAGTATCTTTAACAGTTAAGAGCGGTCAAGCAGGTCAATTTACATAACAAGTTTGTACATGCATACAAGAATGTTTGCTCTTCAGATGATGTAAAGATAATCCGGGATAATAACGAATGCCTACAGAATCATGAAGATTTTTAGCTCACCTGAGCAAGCTCAGATCGTCTGTCGTCCGTCCACATATGTTCGTTAACACTCTAGTGGTCACATTTTTGCCTCAATCATCATCAAACTTTGTCAGGATGTTTGTTTAGGTAATTGCTCTGATGAGTTTGAACTTGGGTCATCTCGGATGAAAAACTAGGTCACAGGAGCTAAAATTAGACAAATCTTGTTAACGCTCTAGTGGCTACTGTTTTTTATATGCTGAAAATTGGTCTGAAAGTGTGTTTTGATGATTTCTAGGTAAAGTTTTAATATGGGTCACCTGTGATCGAAAACTAGGTCACACCGCCCAAATATGGAAAACCTTGTTAACACTCTAGTGGTCACATTTTTGACTCATTTGCCATCAAACTTAATCAGGATGTTTGTCTATGTATTTTTCTCAAATTAGTTCGAACATGGGTAATCTCGGATGAAAAAGAAGGTCACAGGAGCTAAAAAATAGAATAATCTTGTTAACACTCTAGTGACTACTGTTTTGATCCAAATATGCTGGAAATTGGTCTGAAAGTGTGTTTTGATGATTTCTAGATCAACTTCGAATATGGGTCACCTGGGGTAAATTACTAGGTAACACCGCCCAAATATAGAAAAATCTTGTTAACTCTCTAGTGGTCACATTTTTAACTCAATTGCCATCAAACTTGATCAGGATTTCTAGATCAAGTTTCAAATATGGATAACCTGGGGTCAAAAACTAGGTCACACCGCCCTAATATGGAAAAAAACCTTTGTTAACACTCTAGTGGTCACATTTTTACTCATTTGTCGTCAAGTTTCCTAGATAATTGCTTGGATGAGTCTGAATATGGGTAATCTCTGATGAAAAACTGGGTCACAGGAGCTAAAAATAGAATAATCTTGTTAACTCTCTAGTGGCTACTGTTGTTATCCAAATATCCTGGAAATTGGTATGCAAGTTTATTTTGATAATTGCTCGGATGAGTTCGATGAGTCAGGTGAACGATCTAGGCCGTCTTGGTCCTCTTGTTTATGATATTTTGCGAACCATTCAAGCGTTACTCTAACACAATTATAGCACTTGTAATCGGTAGCCTATGCGTTGGCACAATGCTTAGAAGACCCTGATTGGCATACAGTAAATAAAATTTAATAGAAATATTATACATGTATATTTTACACACCTTGTCTTTTTACTATTTATAGTAAAACATCGATCATTGTTTGAAACGAAATAACACATATTTACTCATATGTCTTAATTAACAATATAACCAATAACTGTAGTCATGTGACATGGACTTCTTATATGCACATTTTTCAAAGATCAGGACATGGTCACTGCCACCTTAACATGTTGACTTCATTGCAATGCACTGGTGGCTATATTTAAGCACAAAAATACACGTCAGTTAAACTAGAGTTTTGACTGGCTGACCTCAATGTAAAATGGGGTCGTTTAACAAACATGACCAACCTCCACTTATTCTTAGGACCACAGGCCAAATATTTTCAAGGTATTGTTTCGAGGGTCATTTTGGGTTGGTCTGCTACTCATGACCATCTCAATACTGTACGCCAAAGCGTCTTTAGTAATTAGTCTGGCAAGATTTTTTGTAGTGAAGGTCATGGTGGCCTTGACATTTGACCCTAAATATAAACAGGGTCGCTTTAACAGTGATGACTTACCTCTACACAAAATCTAAGGGTGTTGTAGACTAAAGCATTCTCTAGTCGGACAAGCTTGTTGTAGTCTAGGCCAATAACTAGAGAATACTTTGACCTAAAATCCTGAGATTTATTATGGAGGTCAGTCATTATTAGTACCAATTAACCCTTTTGACTTTCAGGTTAGTCTGCCGAAGGTCAACGTCCCCATGGGCAGACTATCAAGCAGTTTACTGGTACTAGTAGCCTTCACACTCGCTGATAACTTCTGTACATGCCAGAGCAGAGGTACAGTGCAAATGACCATAGAAAAGATTTCAGGACCAATCGCAACGAAAGTGACCCGCACAGTTCAGGAATCGAACCCGTGTCGCCCGATTCACAATTCAACGCTCTACTTAATGAGGTAACGGACGGCTTGGTAGTAAAGTAAATGTGCAGTTGTTCTGTAAAAGTAGTCCTATTGAAACTTTTTGCAAATGCGTATGCCGAGTTGCTGCCAAGAATGACCTTAACAGTACCAGAGAAAACTGCACGATTGTGGAAAATCGGTGATATATGGTCTAGCGTAACAACTAACCAAATAATCAAAAGGGGTCATCTACTAGTTAGAACCAACCGTATAACCAAATCCACAGACTTTATGTAAAATAATTTTTAACAAGGTGGGCTGTGCGGACAAATAGACAGCAGATGCTGTGCAAAGCAATATACACCCTATTTATTTTGAAAGGGATGCATAATAAATAACTCGCACTATGTACTCCTGGAATGATTTCTGTTCTGGTCTAACTACAAGTACACCTTTTAATATGTTCATTCTACGGTCGAAGATCTTCTGGACGTACATGTATAATGAATAGCAATTCCCGTCTGTCTGTCCGTACACAATTGGTTTCCTTAAAAGATACCGATGATTTTGTTTATATTTGGCATGTTTGTACGTTATATCAAGTCAAGTTTGATTTTCCTTGCAATTAACATATTAATATTAGTTATGGCCCTTTATAGTGCGAAAATTGTGAAGGGCAACTTTGTCATAAAATTGATGCACACAACCTTAACAGTCACACTGATCTGGTGACTGGTCATGACCAGTAGATAACCTCTTTTGATTTTTTGGTATCTAGGTCAAAGGTCAGTAACAATAATCTAGCCACACGACTAATTGGCTGCTGATAGGGTGCATACATGTTTTACAAACATATCTTGTTTAAATTCTGTGATGGACAATTTTGTGATGGACAATCACACGGGGGAGGAAGTGTTACACGTAGGATGGAGTTCTTATGATCTTGTTCAGGAGTTCTTGTGATAACTGTCACGGAGTTCGTCGGAAAACATCTGTATATACTACAAAAACACTCGTTAAAAATGGTTATTTTCATCGTTCAAAAATGAGTTTTTAGGTGCTGAATTAAACTGTAATAATTAAGCTTGTCTTACATCTTGTATTATGTGTCAAAAACTAATTCACATGCCATTTTTCATCGCCTCTTGCTTCAAATCTGGAAGTATTCAGTAAAATTTTTCCAAATTACTTGCCCCCAATTCACAAGTTTGACGGTTTATTTCTGGTCTTCATCCTTGCCATACATAATTACCTAATTATAATGCAAAATTGCAAACATTAAAGCACCGGCTAACAGATTTATACCCGATTTTTCAAATGTTCCCGGAGTTCTTGTGATAACTTCTGAAGATGTCACAGAGTTCTTATGATAACTTTTGTTATTGCCAGTGTGTTTCTTGCGCTAAATCACGGCACGTTTTGGCGTTACTTAACTTTCAATAAGGTTGTAAATCATTATGAAATGCAGTACGATCATCCTTTGCAAACAAATGAGGATAAAACGGTGATCTAAAGTGTCTGCAAAGGATAAATAGGTGAAAGGCTATCATCTACAGTACAAATTGAACCAGCGGCCACTGATATTCAGCAGTATAATGGCTTAAACCACAAAACAAAAATGTCTCGAAACGTACTCATTGTTCCCAGCTTCACATGTTTTAAGCAACCACCTTTCTTAAGCAGACAATATATAGGCATGCTTCCCTTACCTAAGGGCAAAATAATTTGTATCATTTTATACAATAATAAATAAGTATATAACCAGGATAATTTCCACACCTATGTCTTAAACAAGTAGGATACATGATAAAAACTCAACTGCGGTTGGCTCTAACACAAATTTGAACTTTTACTCCAGGTTCGAGCGAACTAAGTTTGACTATATATTTTTGTTATCAATTACAGCAAAAGTAGCAGAGTTTCCTCCACTAAGATTACATAGGGGAAATACTCATCAAACATCGACAGAAAAATATACATGAAAATACCATATTTGAGTATTTCAAAGCGCATTTTATCACGTACATAAATGCCCTACTGGTTTCATAGCAGTTCCCTGTCCCAAATCGCACTTTTTAACAAATAAAATAAAGTCCACAAAATTTGCGTCAAACAAAAAAAAATACTATGAAAAAGAAACGGGGCTAAGAAATAATATCTCTTGAACTAAAATTCACTCAAAACCAACATTTTATATCCTTTTTTTGCGCAAAGGATGAGCGTAATATATTTCATAATGATTTACGGTTTCATTGAATAATTAAAAACACTAAAACGTGCCGTGATTTAGCGCAAGAAACACACTGGCAATAACAAAAGTTATCATAAGAACTCTGCGACATCTTCAGAGTTATCACAAGAACTCCGGAACATTTGAAAAATCGGGTATAAATCTGTTAGCCGGTGCTTTATGTTTGCAATTTTGCATTATAATTAGGTAATTATGTATGGCAAGGATGAAGACCAGAAATAAACAGGTCAATACTTGTGAATTGGCAAATAATTTGGAAATTTTACTGAAAACTACCAGATTTATAGCAAGAGACGATTAAAATGGCCTGTGAATTAGTTTTTGACACATAATACAAGATGTAAGACAAGCTTAATTATTAAAGTTTAATTTAGCACCTAAACCTCATTTTTGAACGATGAAAATAACCATTTTTAACGAGTGTTTTTGTAGTATATACATATGTTTTCCAACGAACTCCGTGACAGTTATCACAAGAAATCCTGAACAAGTTATCATAAGAACTTCATCCTTCGTGTAACACTCCCCCCCCCCCCCCCGTGAATCAGCTAGACAGACAATGCTAAATCTATATCCCTCCATCTTTGACGGGGGGGGGGGGGCTAATAAATTCAATGAAAAGCCATTTTAACATTTCTCCAAGGATAAAAACAACTCAGTTTCAGATTTAAATCATGTTTTATGTTTCGTTTCAACTAGCATACTCTCTAACAAAAGTTTCATATTAGATTCAATATATGGTTCATGTACCCATGCAGCATTGTAAAACATGATAGTCTGTCTGTCATTCCCATGACATATATTCTCACTGATACACTGTTTCAATTTCAGTTCCTTACTGTACATTTCTGAAATTTCTGTAAACACTGTCGCTGAAAAATAGCAGAAGACAAAATGTTGAAAAACACATGGCAAAATAAAAGCAGTATCTTATTACACTACAACAAGCATAATTGCCCACTTTTACACAAAACTGAAAATATGATAACACTTTTTTTTTCCATTTAGTGCTTTCCACACCACACAGTGCTAAATTACGTTGCAAAACATAAACCTTTGCTCAGATCAATCTGACCATAGTTTTACAACTTCAATATTAGAAAGTTTCCAACATAATTAGTTTGATTACAATATATCTTTAAGAAAAATTGTGTTTTTACAAATAAGTCTCACATATCATACTGTAAATAACTACCAGTGTCAAAACTGTATCCATAGCCATGTTAAGGAAATTTAAATTTTCATTCCTTTAAAGACAAGAGCTGTCAGTAGGACAGCATGTACCTCTATTCATAGTGCTTGAAATTGAAACAAGAGCCTGGTTAATGTAGAATTTTCTAAGTTCAAAAAAGACCATATTAAATCTGTCTTGAACAGTGACCTCCTTTTATGTTCCCAAATCCATTTGTTAAGTTTCAAAACATTGCCTTCAGCTTTTCTGAAGATACCAACTTGCATGCAAAAACTTTCCCAAAGAGTGAGGCTGAGGCCGGGTGTCAAGTACCATAGCTCTTCATATTCTTCAAATAATCAAGCTAAAAATTAATACATTTACATGATTTTTTCTTCTTCAAAATATCCTCATACCATTCCCTAGATAAGAGCAGAAAAGTATGGGAAGACGGAAATAACTATATTACAACTCCTTAATTAATAAGCTGTTGTTCAATTAAGTCATACATATTTTTTGCTAAATAAAAGAAACTGAACCAATCAAATCATCTGTCAACAGATTTAGATTTTTTTTAAAAGATGGCTGACATTCCTAATAGATGTATCCTTCTTCTCTAACTTCTTTTCTCTGATAATTGTGTGATAAGTCTTACCAAATCTATCAACATTCCATGTTTGAAAGAGGATTATTTCATCATCGTCATGGTTACTGTGATGTTCTAATTGTGAAACACCTTTAGACATTTCAGACAGTCCACACAGACGATCACGAATCTTCTCCTTGAAAATAAAACTAACAATGAATTGTTAAATTAAATAAAGAAGAAGTTACAACCCTATCACATCAAGCTGTTGAAATTTGCTTCAAATTTTATTTTCAATATGTGCTGAACATTTTAATATTTGAAATTAGTCTGTAACAAAATTTCTGTTCAATGCTAAATTTGTGTGAAGGATCTTTAATCTAAAATGGTATGTCTCTGTCAGTTGAAAAAAGTATTCTTATATAGAAATACAACAATATGGTCCGACTGCTCAACATACAGGCTAGCTGAAATCTGCGCTGATGTCACAAGTCCCTTGCCATTACAGCCACAATAAAGTTAAACATTCAATTACATGTACATAGCCACTTTATCACTAAGATATCATATTCTTTTATTTCAGCATATCTTGAAAGTTAGAATCTTTTTTTTTTTAAACCATATACCACTAAAAATCTGCATCCTATCCTTACAAAATAAATTCACAAAGTTTTGTTAGAACTGTTTATGATAATAATAATGGCATGGCAAATAAGTTATCAAATAGCTCAATGACTTAATTGCTAATTAGTAGAGCATCAAAACTTTAGATGTTCCAGTCTGATTATGTTGTACAATGTATATCACTCATCATGCAACAAATATTAAAAGGTGTAATAACTACTTGTTTTAATGTCAGACCCTATCATAAAAATAATCTGCAAAAGTTTTTACCATTCTTTTAAGAAGATTCTCTAATTTCTCACAAAGCTGAAGAAGTGATTCTGGTAACATATCTCTTGCCTTCTCTCCTTCTTCATCTTGACCTAAACTAAAGATAAAATATTGTATTAAATGAATTAGTAACAATTGTAACAATTCTGTTTAATTTTTTTAATCATTTTAATGTTTGAAACACAGTAACTATCATGTGATCTAAGGTGCATGGCATCAGATATATTTATTTTCTAATTTATTAATTTTATTTCTTGCGTTATGTGTAAAATTATAATTTGACTCATTGTTGTGCATTGAGTATTTCATAATTGGTAATTTACTATATAAAAGAATGCTGTTATAAATAGTAGCCTTAATTGTTTAAATGTCAATGTAAAACAATAAGACTGTTTCCCCCAAAATAGAATATCTTACATGTATCAAAGCTCATATGTAAACAAAATGGTCCTCACAGGTAAAAATATTGTTTCTCGTATGTAAACATATCTGTTATCATATGTAAACATAATGGTCCTCATATGTAAACATATGGTCCTCAAATGTGAACATATAGGTCCACATATGTTAAAATATTGATTCTCATATGTAAGCATATCAGTTCTCTCAAAAAGAGAAATTTCAACAAGACAGTTGAGTAATGAATATATTACACTATAAAGAAGGCTTTTCATTTCGGAAAATGTTGAATGCCCATGAAAAATATCCTTTAACCCATTACTTCATGAGCATTTTGTGAAAATAGCTGTTTTCATTGAAAAGTCTCCCGTTACAAGTTCAAATTGCTATAATACTATAAAAACTGCTTCAACACTAATCAAACTTGGCACAAATCTTGACTGGACCATTGCCCTTGCAACAACATGCTTAGGCTTAAATTTTCTGTTACCATGGCAACGAGGGGACATCTCAAAATTGCCAAAAATCACTATTTTGCGTTGATTTTTTCCATCAAAATTGATTTCAAAGTGCTGCAACTTCTCAATGGATTGAGATAGAGTCAAATGCTTTTCAGCGTTGGTTACACGTTACCTTATGATCAATCTGGGGTCATTTATAGCCTCTCACAAGTCCAAAATTTTCTTGGCGATGAGGGGGACTCGGCCCCCCTTCAAACCCCCCAAACAGAAGGGGGCACATCCCCCTTCTAGCAACCCCATGATTGTATCTTTTGGTTGGGGGGCCGCGCCGAAAAAGAGGTCACTTTTTTTAACACCATTTCTCAAACAAAAACAAGTGTTGGGGGCTTAAATAAGGCATTTTTTCACCATTTGAGACAACAAAATGGGGGGGGTGAAAAAGGCGTTAAAAGGCGTGTATATAACGTAATGGGTTAAGGTGTATAAAGCTGTATCTTTGCTGTCTTTAGTTGAAAACAAAAGAAATGTATGAAACTTCCACATCACATATACAATATATTTGAATATTTCCTTCAGAGCAAATGAGAAATGCATTGTTTCACTGACAAAACATGACTTGAAATAGCTGAAAAGTATTGTTCAGGAACATTTTATTCTGTTTATGTACAAAATTAATGTGTATTCATTTACAGAGACATTCTATGAGAGTGAACCATAAGATTATGGAAGGACAAAATTTTGATTTTTATAGATTTTATAAAATTATTTCATCAGATATTAAGCTTATTATAATAATATAATCTTTAAAGTCAGAAGGTTAAACATTTTGGAATGGAGCAATGACAGTTTTTGGTAATATCTTACATCTTTTCCAGTTTAATGTTTGCTATTTCACTGACAATATTTGCACCATCTACATTCAGCACTTGCCATTTTTGTGTCAGATTATGTAAATCAGCTGCACCATCTTTTAATTTCCTAGCACTTCCTGTCAGGTTTCCTTGTCTGTTTTGTATAGGTGATTCTTTAACTGGAAAATAAGTGTTTGAATGAAGTCAGTATTATACATTTACATTTATCTCATGAATCTTCTGAGACATTAATTAAGTCTTTTCAGGCTTGTTAGCTTTTGAGGAGTTCCGATTGGTACATGATTTTGCCACTTTTTATAAAGTTAACATTTGAAAGATGAAACAATTGTACTTAGAATGATATCTTCATCCAGTCTATATCACATATCAATAAACATCTTACAGGAAATGTGTATTTTCTAAGAGTTGTTCTAGAATACAGTTTAATTGGAAGAGATGTCCTTGTGTACAATAATCATTGAAATTTAGAGATTTTTTTTGGCTTATTTTATAGCCGTTATTGGGTCATATTCCCAATTAAAAATAGTATATTATTTTCCCAATCCACAGGAAAAAATTCCCAATTGAAAATTACAAAAATAAAAAAATATTGAATAAAAATTCTTAAATCTTTGCAAATAAGGGCTTCTTCACTGTAGTAGTGCTTAATGTTTGAAAATGCCATTCCTAGATAGTGATTGTTTGCATCCATTTAAGCACTGAAAAATTTCAGTCATGCATTTTTACCATTTTCTAACAAAACATATCGCTAAAATACCAATTTCATGGGTATGGGCCGTGTTCCCAAACTCCTGGAAAAAAATCCCTGGAAATTGTTTTCAAGTGTAGTCTGCATCATCTACATGTATGCCATTTACAATTTTGAATATTTGAATCATATAAAATCTATCATGGCAATGCCAATATAATAAAGTACGAGATTTAAGTTTTTAAGTGTCACTGGGTGAAAAAAATATGCAGCCTGACCGAAACTCGAACCTGGGACCCTCGTAATACCATAACACGGTACCTCCAATACACCAATAAACACTTTTCAAATGAACTAGGTAAATAACAGAGGTATATCGAGTGAAAAAATACGAGTTGTGTCCCTTATCTTCGAGTAAAATTGGTATCTCATACGCTAAAGCAATACAAATTAAGCCATTTTTAAACCGCTAGTATGTTGTGATTAAATGTCCGATTTTAAAAATTATTACATCATTGGAAAGCTTGGGATTTTAGCTTTGCCACAGTATATAATTTTACATATCTTTTGACACCAAAGTATTTAAATTAACTGTTAAACCTACCATATGTCAGCCCATTTTACATACGATTTATACAGTGAGATACGTAACCGATTATCTTTACTCGAAAACCTACTGATAAGAAAAGCCTGTCGTCTGCTAGTTGGGGAAAGTGTTTATTGGTGTATTGAGCTGTCTGGCCACTTACGCATCTTCTCCTCTCATCTAAACAGTGAACAGTTCTGAACCGTGACTAAAGTGTTACAATACATAAAACCACGGATTTATATGTAATATAAATCCGTGATAAAACATAGAATTATAAACATGTCTGAAAAAATAGTTATAAAGAAAAATAACAGTCTACGAGGTCGAATTAAATTGAGTACGAATCTTTTATCTTTGGATGTTCAGAGTTTGACTGAATATACATTATACAGTAAAGCGACTATTGTTTGAAGATGAAAATCTTTCTAGTTACATTTTATAGGAGAAAAACTTTCATCGTAAAATGAATTAGTTGTCTGTTTAGTCGGTGTTTTTGTTTTCACTTTGGGACCCATGTTTTCGCGAAAATATCCGCTTCAAAGGGAGATTACTATTGTCAAAATGGGCGACAAAGTGGATGTGACAGTTGTTGGATCATGTAATACCGATCTTATTAGGTAACATGGATTTGATACACTTACATCTTATTGTCAAATTAATTAAATTACACATTCACAAAACAGTGATGCTGTTGTCATCATGTAAAGATTGAAAAATCATTGATTTGCTGGGTTTGTTTTTGTTAAATTCGTACCGTTGTCAATTCGAACCATTTCCGATTCGGTCCTTATATTTAATTATTGTCTTTACGACTCAGAGTGTAATTCACATTTGTTCAAGGATCATTTGTGATCCGTAGATGAAATAGATAGACAATGTTTATTTTAGACATATTATATATATCTATATATAAGAGGGTGCTGGTCCAAGGCCCAGTCATATAAGGCACACCTCAGGGCTCAGTACTGGGGCCGCTTTTGTTCCCCATATTCATAAATGACCCTCCAGAGGGACTACTCTCAAAGACTCGATTATTTGCAGACGACTGCATCCTATATCCCCAGATCAAGTCCATCCATGACCAGCAGCTGCTTCAAGCTAACCTGCATTCTCTGGCCAGGTGGGAACACTTGTACGGCACAGACTTTCACCCTCAGAAAATTGCAGCGTCCTGCGAGTAACCTGGGCGAAATCTCCTCTTCAGACCAACTATATCCTGAAAGGTATAACTCCTGTTGATGAACAGTCATTGTAATACTTAGGTGTGGACTTACAATCAGACCTTGGCTGGAAACAACACAATCATTGACAAGATCACCAAAAAAGCTAACAACACATGCTACATGTAGCCTTCTAAAATGTAATTTGAGAAACACAAGCTGTGAAACTAAAACCAATGCCTACAAATCTTTTGTTCGATCTGACATAGAATATTAATTGCTGCACTGTTTGGAACCCCTATCATAAAAACCCATATTTAGTGGAAATGGTACAGCGAAGAGCGCTCACACTTCACTACAAACAGGTACCATAACACCATCAGTGTCTCAGATATGCTACATCATCTAAATTCGGAAACATTGGAAATAGGCCGTCAAAAGCTCCCATCATTATGCTTAACAAAGTCATCTATCAACTTGTGGAGATAGATCCAGGCCACTCTTAACACCAACTAAACCCATATCAAGGTCGCAACACAGTACCCGATTCCTGCAGTATTCAATGTCCACGGACATTATGAAGTTCAGCTTCTTCCCTTGTTGTATTTCTCTGTGGAACAACCTGTCAGCATATGTTGCTGCGGCTTATTCTTTGGCATCCTTCAAGAATGAGCTGTCTAAGCTAACCTTCTAAAGGGGACTTACATGCACAGTTACGATGCACAGATAGAAAAACCGCCAATTAAAGGGCTTGAGCTATGCCAGCAGGGTCTTGGACCTGGGCAACGCCACAGAAGCTGGATTGGTCTTGCCAATTATTAATAGATTGCTGAAAAGTAACTGTGTACAACTACTTTCTGCTACTTCATTTCTTTTAACTTCTATCTAGCAAAAACTGTGTCTGTGTCCTTTTTTCTTTCTATCCTATTTTATGTCTTTTTTTTCTTGCACACTGTTAAAGAAATGTCAAGTTTTTTGACAGTTTAAGGTACAGATGTAGATGTAGATATACATTTGATATGTTGCTTTGAAATATTTATACCTAATCATCTTTATGCCACAGGAGTAACTAACTTTTATTTCCATTACAAAATATTAATAATTATATAAAGACTTAGTATATAGTGTAATGAGAATGGACTTAATTTGTGACTTTGGATATAGAGAATACATGGTTGATGTCTGGATCGAGAAGGTTTATCTGGTGAGCGAGAAAGTGTATCTTGGGGAGCTTTAAAGATGATATTACATATACATACATGTAGCTAAAAGTATTGTCTTGGGTCAGTTTCTGACTCATCTTGTACTGTTGTAAATAGATATACTTCTATGAATGTTTCAGCTATGTTCCAAGGTTTCCAGTGCCAGGTGAAACACTACAAGGAACTAAGTTTTCCATGGGTTTTGGTGGTAAGGGAGCTAACCAGTGTGTGATGACGGCCAAACTTGGTGCTAAATCTGCAATGATATCAAAGGTTTAAGAGATCATTTCTTCTACTTACATTATAAACTACATGTAGTTTGATTTTAGCTTGACTAGCTTAATCTTTGGGTTATTTGCAAAGAAGAAAGATTTGTTTTGCTTTTTTTCACTGCTAACACTATTAATTAAAAGCCTTGATAATCAGGTGAGCAATATGAGGGCCATCATGGCCCTCTTGCTTCTAGAAAAAGTTACATGTGTTGATTTACTGCTAATATATGTGGTTGAGTAGAATATAACATTTACATTTCACAGCAACTAATTTGTACTTTTTGTAATACAGCTTTGAGATTTTATAATCCAATTAACTAGTAATTAATTATTATGTAATAGTAGGGAAAATATCAGTCCATAAAGTGTGTTAAACTAAAACACTTGAGATCAATTATTATACACATTTGTAGGTTGGTAAAGACACTTTTGGAGATGGTCATATTAAAAATTTCAAAGATGTTGGCATTTGTACAGGTATTATTTCATCACATTGAGATATCCCATTTGAAATATTTACTTATGATATAATTCATTTATTTTGAAATAACTCTTTTTTACTTATCTGTTTAACAACTAACATGACTTTATCATGGAACCAATAATTAGAAGAAGATACTACTGTGTAATGTTGCTTTTGTGAAACATTATATAACAATGCTCAAGATTTAAAACTCATTGTTTTACACTTTTTATCCTCAATGAAATCATTCAGATGTATTGTTTTGATATTTATGTCGAAGTCTAGACATTATTTTAAAAGAAAATATTACCGTATAAGTGTTTTTTTCTGCGGTGACTTTATTTCTGCATTTTCTGCGGTCAGTTTCAGCACCGCAGAAATATTTCTCCATGTTATTGTTTTTTAAGCTGGTATGATATGTATACTGCATTATTACCTGTTCGTCTAAAGTAATAACTACCTACGGATTATAGCGGTTAGCAGGTTTTCAAGTTGAATAAAACTGCTTTCAGCTAAGTATGTATTCTGTGTTTGTAAGGATGTACTTATTGTTAACTATAAGTTAAGAATAAAGATATTTAAACAGCATATATAGTGTTTGCCAGTACGCTAAAGGTTTGTTTACATGAACTAAATTATTCAAACCATTTCAACCCTTAAACTACTAAATAATCGTCGTATACTTTGTCATCTGATTTATGGTAAACTTCTATCAATTTTATGAAATTAAAGATACTACCCGGGTATATTTTTCACACGTCATTTCACGCTGATCAACAGATGCATACCTTTCTATTGTTGCGCATTATATTTGTTTACAATGATTATACAGTTTTGCGGTGACGACGATAAACAAATGCAAATGTGTACATGCAAAAAAAAAGGTAGAGTAATGGGATTTAGACTTTGATGAACTGAGTCGCAGAATTTAAATCACGTTTTGTCCAAAGAATGTGCAGCAGAAATTAAATCTGTGGAAATAAAAACATGCCAAAATTTGGAAAAACCGCAGAATTTAGAGCCCGCAGAAAAAACACTTATAGGGTATTACATCATGAATTTATGATTATGCCCCGTCAAAGGTTAGTTTGTGATGGTGTCCTGAACCAAAACAAACCTATATTTTTATGAAATGTGTAAGATAATAGTCTTAGTCACCAGTGCATTGCATTAAGGACAAATCATTAAGATCAACATTACCTTAATTATAACATTCTTGATCCTTAAAAGGTTAACATGAACTAAGATGTCTATGTAAAATGACAAATTTATTTTCAGTAAGTGGTGCATACAAAAGTCATGTTCTACAAACATCTTTTGATATTTTCGTAATTGAAAAGAATCTAATATATTGTTGAGAAACTTATTTGTTAGTTATCATGTATTGTATGTTATATGAAATATATGTTATATGTTGTTTTAGATTATGTTTACACAACAACTGAGGCATCAACAGGGGCGGCACCAATATGCGTCAATGAAAGTGGTATGCAAGTACATTTCTATGTTCATCCAACTGTTATTACTTTGTTAATGACTGTTATATACTACAATATCGACAAAGACAAGACAATGTATCTCTTACATAATTTCAGGCTAGAAATAGCACTTGGGCAGACCTTTTGGTTGATATCAGGTTTGTTCAATGAAAAAGCTACATATAATTGGCTTTCTTCAAATGTCAATGCAATAAGTGGTAAATTGATAATTCTAACTTACTTCACACTATTCCCCTCTTAAACAGATAGGCCAGTCAAGTGCATTATTATAAATTGTATGGGTAGCATAAAAACTGAATGCTTACACATCCTATGACATAGATTTGATGCAAATTTTACAACAACTCATTTAAAAATTGATATCTATTTCCTAATTATAATATGAATTGTTGACTTTTTATAAATATAACATAAATAAAGCAGTTTGCCTCCTGAAAATGACTGAAAGAACACTGTCCATCTACATAATGTATTTTGGCATTTGATGAAATGTGTACTTGAATTCTATTTTTATTTTCATTCTAGGTCAGAACTCTATTGTGATTATACCTGGAGCTAACTTGTTGCTTGATGAACATGACCTTGTCAGTGCTGGAAAGGTCGTTACAGGGTCAAAGGTCATGTTGTGTCAACTGGAAATCAATCCAAAAATAACTTTAGAAGCATTAAAAATGGGAAGAAAACATGGTGGTAAGAATCATTTGTATATCAAAAGCTTTGTTCTAAACAATTAAAAAAAAATGTCATGTAATTAATTACTGTATGTAAGTTCATACTAGGTCTTCCCAATACACATTACATAGACATACGAAGTGAATTATGTCGATATAAGTGTTACTCAAATAATTGTTTACAACATGATATTGTTTATTTTTTTAACAAAGTAAGTTATGCTTACACAGTGATAATCTCTACCATGTTATAGTTTAAGTATCTGAAATGAAATATTAACAGTTTTATATACATTCTAGTTGCAATTATTATTTTTTGAAAATAATCATTAAGTTTATAATTGTTTAAATATAATGTTTTCTTTGCACACATAGATTTAAAGGAAGGGAGGTCACTCAAGAAGACATTTTCAATCAACTCAATGATTAAACCCCTTTGATTGAAAAACTTTATGAAAAAATGAAAACTTTCAAAATAATTCAAAAGAAATAATGTTAATTATGAAAGTAAAATAATCAAATAATTTAATTTCTGATCCAGCATTGCAAAATTTATAATTAATTAAATTCCTTTACATTCTAAAAACTTGGACTTATCAGGTTTAAAGAACCATCAAAAGCATTTTCCCCCTATCAAAGATATTTATCAATATTTATTTCTCCATCACTTACTGTTTCATCTCACAAAGTTTCTGTCATAGAAAAAAACAACTGGATTACATTTTTATGCAATATATTTGACTTCTGACATCTTAGGTAAAACATGTAGGTAAAAAGAGATCTACAATTCACAATATATTTGACTTCTGACATCTTAGGTAAAACATGTAGGTAAAAGAGATCTACAATTCATATGAATAAAATGCAAACCCTTCTGTAAAAAACTTTGAAAATGGTCAGTATTTGTATGTGATGGTAGAGTATTTGTAAAATAATTTGAATCACTAAAATCATCAACAGAAGTCTCGCATAAAATAGGTAATTCTAAAAAGGTATATTTACTACAAGTGAAATTTAATTCTAAATCTTGCTGAACAATAGAGTCATACTGTTTGTTAGAAATATAACCACAACATTTAATATGAGACCAGTCTTGGCAAATATTACATTCCACTGCCTTGCTGCAAACTGCTACGGCTTTAGAACAAATCACACACGGAAAATTAGGTTGTCCTCTTTCTTGAACTTTTCTTTGTTGATAATTGTACTGGACCTGGATTTAGTTCTATATCTCCACAACAAATTATATAAAAGTCAAAACAAACATATACCAATAGCTTAAAGTTGTTTGATGTTTACTCAAGTTTTTTATTAGCTCACCTGAGCTTGCTCAGGGTGAGCTTTTAGGATCGATGAATGTCCGTCGTCCGTCGTCCGTCCGGCCGTCCACAATTGCTTGTGAACACTCTAGCGGTCGCATTTTTGCCTCAATCATCATCAAACTTGGTCAGGATGCTTATCTAGTTGAAAGCTCGGATGAGTTCGAACATGGGTCATCTCAGATGAAAAACTAGGTCACAAGAGCTAAAAATAGAAAAACCTTGTGAACACTCTAGAGGTCACATTTTTGACCCAATCTTCATCAAACTTGGTCAGGATGTTTGTCTAGGTGATAGCTCGGATGAGTTCGAACATGGGTCATCTCGGATGAAAAAGTAGGTCACAGGAGCTATAAATAGAAAAACCTTGTGAACACTCTAGTGGTCACATTTTTGAACCAATCATCATCAAACTTTGTCAGGATGCTTGTTTAGATAATAGCTCGGATGAGTTCGAATATGGGTCATCTCGGATGAAAAACTAGGTCACCGGAGCTATAAATAGAAAAACCTTGTTAACACTCTAGCGGTCACATTTTTGCATCAATCATCATCAAACTTGGTCAGGATGCTTATCTAGTTGATAGCTTGGATGAGTTTGAACATGGGTCATCTCGGATGAAAAAGTAGGTCACCGGAGCTAAAAATAGAAAAACCTTGTTAACACTCTAGCGGTCACATTTTTGCATCAATCATCATCAAACTTGATCAAGATGCTTGTCTAGGTGATAGCTCGGATGAGTTCGAACATGGGTCATCTCAATTGACTCAATTGTCATTAAACTTGGTCAGGAAACTTGTCTAGGTCATTGCTGGGAATAAATCGAACATGGGACATCTCGGATGAAAAACTAGGTCACAGGAGCTAAAAATAGAAAAATCTTGTTAACACTCTAGTGGCTACTGTTGTGATCCAAATATTCTGTTAATTGGTTTGAAAGTTTGTTTTGATGATGTCTAAGTCAAGATCGAACATGGGTCATCTTGGATGAAAAACTAGGTCACACCGCCCAAATATGGAAAAACCTTGTTAACATTCTAGTGGTCACATTTTCGACTCCATTATCATCAAACTTGGTCAGAATGCTTGTCTAGGTAATTGCTTGGATGAGTTCGAAATCGCATGTGAAACTAGGTCACCGGAGCTAAAAATAGAAAAATCTTGTTAACACTCTAGTTGCTACTGTTTTGATCCAAGTATCCTGGAAATTGGTCTGAAAGTTTGTTTTGATGATTTCTAGGTCAAGTTTGAATATGTGTCACCTGGGTAAAAAACTAGGTCGCACTGCTCAAATATGGATAATCCTTGTTAACACTGTAGTGGTCACATTTTTGACTCACCTGTCATGAGACTTGGTCAGAATGCTTGTCTAGGTAATTGTTTGGATGAGTTTGATAATTCAGGTGAGCGATCTAGGGCCATCATGGCCCTCTTGTTGTTCGTCCTTCTGGTACGAAATGGCTTCCTCCCAAAGTGACATCTTGGGGCGAAAGATACGTGAACAGGTCTGCATTGATCAATCCTCTGAAACGATTGAAAGTAAAATTTAAAATATGAGTATGTGTCTGGATAATGTTCAAATGAATTAAAATAGCAAAGATTAGTGAGAGCAAAATTCTGCGCTCTCCGGCCATCATGTTTCCGGCTTTAACTGAAAATGGAACCTTATAAAATGGAAAAATCTTAAGAAAATAGTTTTGTCATTAAAAAGTGTGAAATTATATTTTGATAATTTTCACTTTGAAATTGTCTAATATAATTTTCAGGGATAAATCAGTGACCCACTGAAAAGCATGAAATAATTGTTTTTAACAATAATATTATGGTTTTCATTTAAAAAAATGTTATTATGGTTTGCTAAGACTTTATCTTAGATATGCTCGGATATTATACAAGATGTTATGTTAAAGGCCCATTATGCATCAGAAATGCTTTTATTTTTATTTCTCAAAAGCTTTATATCAATGGTATCCTATTTTAGTTTCCAAAAAGTTTCTAATTGGCCAGTTACCTGAACCACATTTGCTTCTATTGCTTTTTTGGCAATTAGTTGAGAAAGCATTTTGTAGGAAGTCTTTGTAGGAAATACTACTTTTAGAACAAAATTTTCACATCTAGTGCTACATTGTAATTTCAGCCTTTCTTCAGATTTTAAAACATGCTCTAAAACCACTCTTTAAACAGAATAGAACAGAACTTTATTTTGACTTGTGCAGAGTATATAATCATACAAAACATATAATACATAATATATTTTGAACACAATGTTACATAAACAATTATATGCCACTATTTAAGATGTTATTTGAAATCAACGAAAAATATACTGTATATCGTGTTTTGGCATGTAAATAATTAATTGATAGAATTAACTACAGAATTTCTGCAATTTAAACATTCTGATGCTCATGTTAGTCTTTTTCTAAAGGAAGAATTTTTTTCTGAGGCATAGTGTTACTTTAAAATATACGGAACGTAGATGGTTCTACTCAGGTACCCGGACGTGCCTGAAATAATGCACGGAAGGGCACTTGAGGTCTTCCTCCACCAGTAAAGCTGGAACGTCACGATATGACCTATAATGTGTCGGATGTGACGTAAAACCTAAAACAAACAAACAAAAAACTTTAAAATATGATAAATTGTTAGCATTACATAAAGGTCATGCTTATTAACAGTTACAGCTATGACTAGTGTATTTTGGTTTTGTGTTAAATAAAATGAGTATTGCAAAAATTTGAAACAAAGACTTTAAATATCAGTAGGTTAGCATACATGTACTAACCTATATCATGCTGAAAGGACATTTAGATATATATCTTGAACTATAATATGTACTACATGTTAAATACAGTATCTTTCTAAAGTATGATAAACATTTGGGAGCACACAACTGGTAGTTGAGTTATCAAAGCTGTTGAAGATGTCAGTTGACATCTTTTTAAAGCTGCAAGCCTCCAGATGTGCTAAAATATTTCCAGAAAATCAAACTTGAGAAAAATGTACAAAGTTTTAAAGGAAAATAAAAAGATTCATAATTAGAGGAACAAGTTACATATATTTTGTCTGAATAATTACTGCTTTTGCACCATTTGTCTAATATTTCTACTGTGTGACAACCACAGTCATGGCTATTTTTGCATATTTTGACCTCTTTTTGGTAATTTACGTAAATTTTAAATGCTGCCATTTGCAATGTGCAAATTACTTTCTTTGTTGACTTTACAATACTTTACATTTCAATATACCTTTTAAAAAAAAAATATATGAAAAATTAGCATGAATTCGGAGGCATGCTGCTTTAAAAATTTCATGTTATTTCACATTTTTTCAGTTCAGACAATACTGAATCCTGCACCAGCTATTCCTTTAGACAAAGAGTTCTACAGTTACACAGACGTTTTATGTCCTAATGAATCTGAGGTAATTATATTTAAAGTGGCATGTACAACATTTATCCAGTTTTTAGCAACCCTACAAAGTTCTTAGAGATGAGCTTTTGTGATGATAATTATGATATCAATCAAGATATGTATAAGATTGTAAGTCTTGTCATTCATGTGTGAAACAAGAATGCTCAGAGATTAAATGTATGGCTGGAAATATTATCTTCCATGAAAGTTCTATAAATCATGCACTTGAATTTACGTTAAAGTTTTTGTAATAGTTCAAATATTTTCAAAGTCCATTGACATATGGCTTTGAAACTTTGCACACTTGTTCACCATCATGACCCCAACCTGTAGACAGGAGGAGGTAACTCTATCAAGCATTTTGACAGAATTATGCCCCTTTTTCGACTTAGAATTTACGTTAAAGTTTTTGTAATAGTTCAAATATTTTCAAAGTCCATTGACATATGGCTTTGAAACTTTGCACACTTGTTCACCATCATGACCCCAACCTGTAGACAGGAGGAGGTAACTCTATCAAGCATTTTGACAGAATTATGCCCCTTTTTCGACTTAGAATTTACGTTAAAGTTTTTGTAATAGTTTAAATATTTTCAAAGTCCATTGACATATGGCTTTGAAACTTTGCACACTTGTTTACCATCATGAACCCAACCTGTAGACAGGAGGAGGTAACTCTATCAAGCATTTTGACAGAATTATGCCCCTTTTTCGACTTAGAATTTACGTTAAAGTTTTTGTAATAGTTCAAATATTTTCAAAGTCCATTGACATATGGCTTTGAAACTTTGCACACTTGTTCAACATCATGACCCCAATCTGTAAACAGTAGGAGGTAACTCTATCAAGCATTTTGACAGAATTATGCCCCTTTTTCGACTTAGAATTTACGTTAAAGTTTTTGTAATAGTTCAAATATTTTCAAAGTCCATTGACATATGGCTTTGAAACTTTGCACACTTGTTCACCATCATGACCCCAACCTGTAAACAGGAAGAGGTAACTCTATCAAGCATTTTTTTTACTATCAAGCACTAAGAATAGTCGAGCGTTGCTGTCCTACCGACAGCTCTTGTTAGCTTAACTACTGTCCTACTCACCCCGGGTCAATGTCCAGATTTCAGATTAAAGTTTTGGTGCAGTAAAATATTTTCACTATAACTTTTTCATTTCTTAAGATATCAACTTGAAATATATGTTCCTTATCATCAACCACATCGTATGTGACAAGGTTCTTAACTCTAGCACCAATATTTTTAGATTTATCTCCCCTTGAACTTAAAATTTTTCTTAAAAAATATTATTTTTTACTATGACTTTTTATTTCTTAAGGTATCAAATAATTGTTCATTATCATCAATCCAACTTATGTGACAAGGTTCATAACTCTAGTGCCAACATTTTCAGATTTATCTCCCCTTGAACTTAGAATTTTTCTTAAAAAATATTATTTTTACTGTTACTTCTTTATTTCTTAAGATATCAACTTCATACTTCAAATATATGTTCCTTATCATTAATCACATCTTATGTGACAAGGTTCATAACTCGAGTGAATTTTCTTTAAGAAATATGATAGCTTCTTAACTTTTTAAGGTATCTTCTTCAACCTTAAAATATATATTCTTATCATTACACACATGTTGTGTGACAAGGTCCATAAATCTAGTGTGACTTTTTCCATAATTATACCCCCTTGAATTGGAATTTATGTTAACAACTATAACTTCCTGTCATAAGAGGAAAAATATTTATATCATAATTGATTTTTGTTTTGTCTTCCTTACTGCATCCAGTATTTAATTAATCTAGCTTCGCTGTCTCCTGTGACAGCTCTTGTTGTTACATAAAGTTCTGTAGTATACAGAATTCTAAAATCTTCTCAACAGAAACTACAGTGCCTACAGTTTTTAGATGTAGCAAGCTATATGGAACCTTCACAAAAGTACTACAAATTATGCCACTTGGGTTATTAATGGCTCAGCCTGTGATCTATTTCTGCATTGAAGAATAATTACCTTGAACATTCTAGGGCCATCATGGTTCTCTTGTTATATGATCTATCATAAGACTTGCCCCTCACCACTGTTTGATTTTTACCAGGGATTATGACATTGTTTATGTAAAGAAGCTATAGTGATGCTGGTAGTTTTCACTACGGATCACGGCCATTTGCCACATTGAATATACCAGAGCACAGTTCAGCCACCACCTTGTTCCTGGTCATGCTGTCAAAACAGTTTACCAGTACTAGTTGTCTTTACTTTCTCAAGGAACTTCTGTACATGCCAGAGCAGATGTACAGTGCGAATGATTGTAGAAAGGATTTTATGATCAATCACAAGGAAAGTGACCTGCACTGTCTGAGAATCAAACCCGGGTCACCCGATTCACAGTCCAACGCTCTACCTATTGAGCTAACCTGACTGCTTTCATGTAGGGAATCCAATCCCTGCCTGTAGTTATACTTGTCTGAAATACCGTATGGAGGGGCACTTAAGGTCTTTATCAGCAAAGCCGAAAACTGGAAATGATAAAAGAAAGAGATATTGTGGATTAATAATAAGATGAATTCTGTAGAGTTTTAAGGAGAATTTCTTATAACTGTACTACCTTTCTCATAGTGATACACATTTTAGATAGAATACTTACACATGGATAAATAATCTACCATAAAATGGTCTTGCTGCTGTCAGGAATAAGGTGAAAAGGTGAATAATAGGATATACAAAAAGGGCAAAGATTGATAAATGGGCAATAGAAAACTATTTTCAGCTGCCTTTTACATGTCTCTTTATGTATCAACTTATGTAAATTATTATTTTCATAACTTACCTGTATATTAAATTTAAAGAAAAAAATAGCAATTCACGTACCTTTTAGGCAGAATTATTACTAGGAATTCCAGTAAAAACAGTTGATGATGCCAAATTAGCAGCCAGGAAGTTACATGATGTTGGATGTAGAGACGTTATTGTTACCCTCGGTGAAATGGGTTGTGTTGTGATGGAGGGCAATACCAGCAATGTTGTTCATTTACCTGCACCGAAAGTAGAGGCTCTAGACACTACAGTATATATATCTCTGTTGCATTTTAAGATAAAACTGTTGTTTTTTTTGACAATGCTGTTCAAGATCTGAAGATGTTCATTCCACTTGAAAGTTAAAATGTCATTATTGCCTGTGTTTTAGCCAAAATATCCAAAACATAATTGTAAAAAAAATAGGGTTTAAAGTAAAATTAAATCTTGAAAATATATGCTGAAAAAAATATTTACTGAACAAACTGACAGTTCTGTTCTCTTAAAATCTAGATATTTTTGTTTCATATATATTTTTTTGGGGGGGGGGGAAGATTTTAAGATGCGCTTGTCCTTCTCAAGTTGCCCAGATATGACCAGTAATGCATATTTCTGTGTGTTCACCCTCTTAGCTTGATAGTAGGGAGAGCAGGAGAGCATTGGATTTTTAATCTAGGGGACACTGGTTCAATCCTCTGGCGGGGCGAAATTTGTCTGTGACAAATTTGTTCTGATGTTAAGTCTAATGGTCATTAGTCTTTTGCCACAGATTAAGAACTAATGTGGCATAAGTAGTCTGTCACTTGCAGGGAAATTGGTGATTACTGGTTTATTATCCAGGACAGCCAGTTAGGTGGACCAACAGTAGAGATATGGCCAGATTTATGTTTAAATCCACATAAAAATAAATAAGAAATGTGTCACGGTAAATCAAAATTAGTTTTATCTTCAAAAATAAACATAGATCACTCACCAACCCCAAACACAAAAAATTGTTATTTTAAAAGAATGTCTGTACACAAACAAAGATGGCAGTTAAATGCTGTAGAAACCTTAGTTTTACTGGAATATATTGGCATTATACATATTGAAAAAAAGAAAGAGAACATGGTGGATCAAGCTGTCAGACCTATTAGATATAATTGTTGAAAATGTTGAATGAAAATGTTGAATTTCACAAATAAATTAAATGACAGAATTAACTGCCATAACAGTGAATGGTGAAAATGATTTTTTCATTACAATTGTTTTGATGTTTCAGGGAGCAGGTGATTCATTTATAGGAAGTCTAGCATATTTCTTAGCTACCCGACCAGAGCTTGGCCTTGTGGAATCTGCAAGACGGGCTATACAGATAGCATCAGTAAGTGTTCAGCATGCCGGGACTCAGACCAGTTATCCTACAAAAAGCCAGTTACCAGCCGAATTGTTTTCATAAAAGAAGAACCAGTATTTTTTAATTAGTTGAGAAATTTTGCATGTTTTAAAGGGATAGAGACTGTAACACTGTGAATAAATGATAATGTAATATGGTTGTAGTAAAAAGTTAAAGACTAGTCAGTGAATACCTCAATATTCAAACTTCATAGGAGGATTGCTATTTGAAGGAATTAATAATTTATATAATTCTCATGTCTTACAAATGATTCATCCTTAGTAAAAATAAACAAAAAACAAAAAAAACACTTTCGGGCATATAATGCTCCACCTAGCGGTGCTCTTGTTTAAACTTACATATTCATGTTGTTATGTTTATCAACTGTTAAATACATAACATTTTTACACAAAACTTGAGAAGATATAAATGACACAGTTGGCTTTTGACTGTGTCATTGAAATGAGAATATTTCATGATATATTGTATGGAGGTTTAACGTGATCTTTCATCAATTATGATCATTTGTGCTGACAGTGATGAACATATTATATGCTATACATGCAAACGTTTAGAAGGAGTCATAACCTTTAAGTTATAATTTTGAAAGCTTTTTCCTAATAGATTATATATGTGTACATGTATATTAAAAAATTTTTTGAAAATTTAACATTTGTTTTCATGCATCTTTTCTTTCAAAATCTTCATACACAAATGTCATGGATCATATATATTGTTTGTTAATATTTAGATATTACAGTGTATTTGTTTTACGTATCAATATTTGTTAATATATAATACTGCTGGTTTGTAACATCAGTTTTCATTGGACGTTTTAATTGTTATGTTAATTTTATTTATATTTACTGCAGAAAATATTTTATTCAAAGCAGACTGTAATTAAAGGTTACAGATTTTATGATATTGCACGTTTGTGTTGTTACTTTTCATTGGATACTGGTAATAATGATGTTTATATAGTTCTATATACATAGCTGATTTGAATTTATGAAGAATAACATTATTTTTTTCCTTCAAAAAAAAGGAAGTTAGCTGTATTATAATTTCTTTACAAAGATTCTTGACAGGTTATATTACTGTACATACTGTAAATGGTTGTTTGCACTATTAACCTCACCTAGAGGCTCTGGTTATATATGCAAACAACCATTTTTTTGGGGCCATATAACCTGTCAAATAATATAGCTGTGTTTTTATAGTCTTACCTCAGTGTATAAATAAAGTAGGTTACATTTGACTCTTTGATCTGTCATTGAAATTAGAGCATTTCTTAAAATATTGTATTGAGGAGGTTTAACATAAAAATTCATAAATGACGATCATTTGTCTTATGATTTACATGTATTTTTGCATAAACAACTATGCACGCAGGTATATATTAACACAGAAGAAAACATCCATTAACAGATGGAAGGACATACGCACACTCAATTGTCACCATAATATGCGTCACTCAGGGTACATGGACTTTGGCTTAAATTGCGTCATTGTGCCTCTGCTGAAAAAAAATTTCCATTAACCCTTTAATACTCAAAACAGACAAACTTTTAGAAGAAATCATAAATCAAAAGTAATAACTTTAAGGGTTTTCCTTAATAGATTATACATGTATACTTAAAAAAGAATAATGTAACATCTGTTTTCGAGCATATTTTCTTAAAAATCTTCATAAACATATCTTCATAGAATATAACAACTGCCATGCCCGGTCAAATGGTTTATTTAGATGCAAGGGTGAAGGAACCAAACACACATGCACACACACAACTCCCGGATCGATTCATATTTTACGACCCCACACAGTATTTTATACAATGTTTATCGCGACTTTCATAATTTTTAACTTTCCAAATCGTCGTGTCATTTTAGGAATATCATTTCAGTTTATAGAACATAAAAATTGTACTTAAATAGACATTAAGATATGTTTGAAGAACAGTCTTTGCTGGTTATTAACTTCCATCCAACTTCCTCTTAAAGAAATGTATTCCAATACCATTTGTTTTCAGTCGCAACCACTTTTCAATTGGCCATAAAATGCTTAAAATTTTATCTTATTTGTTAGAAACCACATTGTATGTGTGCCTCTATATTGTTTACCTCAATGTTATGAATTCATAGAGATTAGAAAGGGAAAACAAGGAAAATGAGTTGAAAACTAATTTCTACTATTTTGTACTAGTAACCTTTAACTTCATTATTTGTTTGACCCAAATTTTTTAAAGGGAAATATATTTCCTATTGTAATAGAATATTTACTTGTGATTAGCTAGTTACAATGTCTTATTAATGAAAATTTTCATATCTTATCTACGTCAAAATCTATTCCTGTTCAGCATCTTTGACCTAATTATTTAACTATATTTTTAAAATAAGATGAAAAAAAAGAAATCCAACAAGTAAAACAACAGTGCAGGTTCAGTAATTAAATAATCTACCGGTTTCGGTTCCTATTTCTTTTAAAGTACTAGTGTTTCCTCTTGAAAATTTTGATCAGTTTCCTTTATTCAACTGTTGATAAGTATACTAGGAACTTTTCATATAGACATATAGGCAAAATTAAAGAATGATGTTCAATAGAATTTTTGGCATGTTCTTAGAATATAATAATAGCAAAACAAATTTGGGGGTTACCATTCTCACTCCTAAGTATGAGTCTGAGTATTTAGTGATTAAAAGATTTGTGTGAATATTAAGCAGGGAAAGGGTTGAAATAACTTTTCCATCTGGATAAGACACTGAGGAATAATGTTGACAGAATTAGGTATATAATTTAGATCTATGACATTTTAAACAAAGAAAGGCTAGATAATTGTTTAGGAAACTTAAACAAAGACATTGTTTGTCATAAAAAGGATACGTCAATGGCTGTTAGTGAGAAAAAATAATAATCATAGTTGTTATGGCAACAAAGAATATGTATGTACTGTGATAATACCTTGATAAATGGTACTGAAAAATCTGTAACTTTTAATAATCATAATGCTACTTTAACAGAGAGAAAAGGTTGCGAAATCTATTGATTTGCTTTGTTGTTACAAAGGCATCTTTGTATTGGTTAATGGGTATGAGTAGACTACAGAAAGGCCCCCTTTCTGCAGAAAGGATTTGACATGGCCGGAAAGGGCTGATTATGTTCTTATTTATGGCATTTTCCCAAAGATTGCAATAAACATAATTACAATTTATTAAAACAAATATATACATGTATAAGAATAAATTGATACCTTTTATTAAAAATTCGGTATGATTTTGAGAGAAAAACAGTCAGTATTCAAACCGCATGACTCCACACTGCTCCAATTTAGTTACTATTCGAGTATACTGTCTGATGGTGCTAAAAGAATTTTTGTTTTGAAGCTTAGAATGACTTTCTAAGCTATTAATATTGAACAAATGCAACCTGTAAGTTGATATAACCTGATCAGAATTATAACTGTAATCTACTCTCAATCAGTATTTTGATAGTGAATTTCCTTTAAGTAATAATTGACTATTCCAAAAACAATACCATTTATTTTAATTACCATTATTCCAATAATACTTTTTAGGGAGCCAGAAATGGCAGTTAAAAGTTGGGCCAAATAACTCCTTCTGAAGTGTCGTAACCAGTACCAAACCATGAACCAATTGTCAAACCAGTATGAATTTAGAAAGGGAAATTGAATCTCACCTCTGCTGGGATTTGAACCCTGCATAAGGAGTCATTGTGCTCTACCCCTTCACCGCTCTTCCTCCATCATTTCACAAATATAACTTTGTGACGCATGTGTACAACAGGAAGATGGCTGATTTATTGAATTTGTTGAGGTTTTTTTTCTGATATTACATTTGTATTTGTGAGAAATTAGTTTTAACCAAAAAATTTCCAATAATACAAATGTTCAGATGATTATTTAATTCATATTTCTTGGTTTTATGAAAAGATGAATTATAGTTATTGGGAATTTTTCAAAAAATGTGCAAATTTTTAATGATTTTTTTTTAAACTGTCTGACTTTTAATTTTAAATCAAAGTACTAGGGGGACCTCCCAGATATGTTCATTTATAGGACCAGTGACTTAATTATAGGGACATGAAACTGTCACAGACAGTTTTTGTGCTCTATTTTGGTAAAAAATGTTCATTTTTTTTTTTTATGCGTCCACAATGTGGGAGCATATAGCGTTGCACTTGTCCGTCCGTCCGTCAGTCCGTCCGTACGTCCCGAAATCTTGTGAACGCAACTCCTCTTATACCGGATGGCAGATTTTGCTTAAACTTACAGGGATGAACAACCTTAATGTGTAGATGGAAGTAAAGGAAGGAATTTTTGCTGCGACCAAATTTAACAGAATTATGGCCCTTTGTTGATTTTTTCACTAGATACTATGTAGAAATTTTGTGAACGCAACTCCTCTTAAACCGGATGGCAGATTTTGCTTAAACTTACAGGGATGAAACAACCTTAAGGTGTAGATGGTAGTAAAGGAAGGAATTTTCGCTGCGACCAAATTTTACAGAATTATGGCCCTTTGTTGATTTTTTCACTATATACTATGTAGAAATTTTGTGAATGCAACTCCTCTTAAACCGGATGGCAAATTTTGCTTAAACTTCCAGGGATGAACAACCTTAATGAGTAGATGGCAGTAAAGGAAGAAATTTTTGCTGCAACCAAATTTAACAGAATAATGGCCCTTTGTTGATTTTTTCATTATATACTATGTAGAAATTTTGTGAACGCAACTCCTCTTAAACCGGATGGCAGATTTTGCTGAAACTCCCAGGGACTAACAACCTTAATGTGTAGATGGTAGTAAAGGAAGGAATTTTTGCTGCAACCAAATTTAACAGAATTGTGGCCCTTTGTTGATTTTTAGTTTTCAACTTGTGGCACATGTAGTCCAAAAAATATTTGACCTAGAGTCATAAGATTGACAGAACAGTGGTTTGTGGGGGCATCCGTGTCATGGATTATGTGTTATGGACACATTTCTAGTTTTTACTTGTTTTTTTTTGTATATTTATTATTCATTGGTATAGATTATACAGAGTAGTTTTTTTTTCTAATTTCATTAAAAGAAATAAATTTTTAACTTCCTAAAATAGAAATTCTAATAAATGTATATTGTATTGTCCTGAATTTTTTTATTTTATGTTCACTTACTTCATTTTTCGAACTGAATTTTTCATTTACATGATAAAATATAAAATATCCAAGAATTATGTAAACGATTTGATTTCCATTATTGAACAATTGTTATTGTTTAATATTTATAAATGTGCTTATTAAAAGTTGATAAT